TTATATTCTAGGTGTTTGGGCTAATTCAGTCTCATCAGCTTACTGTTTAAAAATTTCCTTCAGTTACATTTTAAGCTTGTTTTATGTTCAATTTTTACTTTGTTAAAGTCAGCTTTGTTGTGGAACTGAGAAGAATTGGCAGTGGAAGCTTTTACATTTCAGGACTTTTTGGTAGACCTTCCTAATCATCTCTCTCATTCCATTATTTTACACTGTTGGGAAATACTGTCATTTTAACCAACTTAGTCAATATTGATATTTGCTTAAGGAGGGAATAGAAAGACATTAATAGCAGTCAGGTGTCACCGGGGAACTGTTTAAGGAAAACAGGTCCACTCGTTTGGAAATCTGATTTGATATCTCCAGAACAATTCTTTCTCACGCCTGTTCTCTATTCTGTTACACCTCTACATTCCAGCCATACTGAACTTGTAGGAGCTGAAGTTCTCAGAATTCTCCTGTGTCACTTCCCATGGTAATTCCTGCCTCTGATTCAGGACCAAGCTTATGCCTCTCATCCCTTAAAAAGCTTCCCACTCCCTTCCCACTTCCATCCTTCTCCTTCTGTGATGAGTTACTTGTCCCTTATATCCACTCCTGCCATATGCACAGAACTATACCTGTGCATGGTTCTGTCAGAGAACTTGCCATGGTATAGTACGGCTATTGGTTTATCTGTCTGTTTCTTCTAGTAAGCTGAAGTCTTCCTCAGGAGCTGGGTCTGTATTTGAATTGTCTTTTGTATCTGGAAGCTAGCACAGTGTCTGGTATATATTAGACACTCAGTGATACTTATAAATTAGACAATCCAATGCCAGTCTCCTAAGTCCATCACAGAAACGGAAGCTTTTGAAGAGTGCTACTCACTTCTCTACTATTGGGCTAATGTTGTAAAAACATGAATTAGTAGGGGATAGGTAATATTCTTACAAGACTACATATTTTATAAATGTAACATAATTAAATAATGTTGTAAAAACATTAGTTATGATCTCCTGTGTAAAAACCAACACAGAATTCAGTTCCTTGGCAGCTTAAGCCCTATAAGCAGTAATTGTACCAGTTGGCACTTAGCTATCATAAAAGTAGATGAATCAGACAATCATGTATACTCAGAAGAAAGGTGGATACGGGAGGGGTGAAGAATAAAGAAGGGAGTGAGTTAGCAAAATGCCACATGGTTGCAACCTAGCACAAAGGTGAAAGTGATTCAGATGAAACTGGCTAGCGTCAAAAAGGGTGAAATGGGGCAAAGAGCAAAAGGCAATCAACAGTGAGAGCAAGAATCACAGGGACTGGGCAGACACGAGCAGGTGAGTACCTGGTGTGGGGTCCCAGGTCCTGTGGGGTTGTGCTCTCTGAAGCTCTGAGGGACATGGAAGAAGGGAGTCCAGAGTGTGATGCTCCGGAAGGCTGAGTTGGGGGGGAATTGGTGTTTACTACAGAGACAAAGATGCACTGAAAAGACTTTCGAAGGAGATGGGCATAGTGACTGACCCCAGCTGGCACCAAAGTCTCAAAAGAATTGAAGAGAGGGCTTTGTTGGGGGTGAATAAGGAGATAGCAAGAGAGGTTGAGAAGACTAATTCTGAGGAGTGAATTTAAATATACTGATGTATTCTCTCCAGTCTACATACATTATTTTGAGTAGCATATAAAACTTGTTATATAATTGACATTTGGAGAAACCATCCATCCTGGAAGTTTGGAATCATGATTTTCCAGTGGGCAGATAATGAATCTCCTTTCAGAAAGAAGTCACTTGTTATATATTCTTATTAAATGGATGAGATCCAGTCCCTGAATCACTGGATCACTATTCATCCCTTCAGAGAATATATTCAACACCTACCATGTGGCAGTATCGTTCCAGTGCCAGGAACACATCTGTGAACAGACAAAATTATCTGCCCATGTATAGCTCATGGAGGGCAGGGGGAATCAGGAGCAGGGAGTATGAGAAACAACCCCAGAAGTAGTAAATTATATAGTGTGTTAGAAGATGAGGAGTGCTGTGGAGAAAAATAAACAGGGAAGGAAAGTGTTGATAGAAGACGCATGTGACCAGGTGGGTTGCGATTTTAAATATAGTAGACAAAGAAGGACTCTGAGACGGTGCCACCTGAGCAGAGACTAAGAGTGAGTGAGCAGACCTGGTAGGCTGGCATCATGTGAAACAGGCTGCCTTTCTGCATGCTCTAAGCTGTTTGTTGTAAGCTTTTCTAATGCCTCCCTTAAAGTAGCTAATCTTAAAGAAAAGTGAGGTTGGAAGTGGTGTTAGAAGGTAAATGCTGAGAGCAGATGGTGCAGTTCGTGTGTTCATCCTTTGCTTTCTCTAAAATCTACTGTTTACTTTTATACTGAACACCTGGTATGACGCTGCAGTTTTCACTTTGTGAAACGGGATACCTGGTATGCATTTTTTCCCTCTTAATTTCTTTTGGAAGAAAAACAAAGTTTTGCTTAATGAAAATAGAAGCTGGAGAGTTGTTTGCTTTTTCCCCAGAAACCACAATAATAGAAAAAAGTGTGAGTGAGCCCTGAAGAAGCTGCTGTGCCACCAGTCACAGCAGTGGAAGCGGGCTGGTGACGGGGGAGCCCCTAAATACACTCCTGGAGAGTGTGGAGTGTGGTCTGGGCTTTGCACAAGGCCACAGTCTGTTAGCACTCAGAATCTGAAAGGTTGCTTTTGTCTTCAGTTCTTCAAGTTGATCTACATGACCAGCCTGGCTGCTGCAAAGGAAGAATCCACCAAAGGGAGTGATTGCAGACGTGAGTATGAATCTGGCCCGGCAGCTGACATGTTGCAGTGGTTGATTTTCTGAGATGAGTTTCCTTTGAGATTCTAAGTTTTGCTTTCCTTAGCCAATAGCTTTCATTCTTCACTGCAGGAAAGTTCAGTCTTTTTTTTTTTTTAAGAAGTTCAGTCTTGAAGAGTGTTCAAACTGGTAATTCTCACTCTGTCTTTGAGGTACTTCAGAACAACTCTAGCTACTTCAAATAGCTTTATTCCAAATGCAGTTAACTTGAATTTGCTTTATTTTATGTAATATGTTACCTAGGGAGGGAGAGAGACATTTTGATAAAACGCATCCTGGCAGATCAACAAATCTGAGAATGATAAACAGTCCTCATCTGTACTCCAAGCATACTGAGTATTCTATTGCAATTAGAGGACTGGGGAATGAGGACTTTGGAGTTGGATCTTGTTTAACTAGTAACCATGACTTACATAAGGAGAAGTTCAGAGGTTAAAGGTGAATCAGAAGACCCAGAACTGTTTTGAGCAAACATAAGAGGCAACTAAGGAAGCCTGAAATGTTGGAGGATATAGATGTGACCTTCCTCAATAACACCAGGAGAAAATGCACCCTATGCAGGAGACATTTTTCCATGTAACCTTACTCTAGTTTTTCTGCATCATTTGTATCTAAAATCCAAAGTAAATAACACTGAGCACTTATAAGTTTTTTGTCTTTGGCATAAGCACATTAAGAAATACAAGCAGTAACTTGCCTTAACTTACCACTTTATGACTCAGCAGGTCATTGAGCCTTTCTGTCTTTATTTGCCCTTCTGCTCTTAAGTGCTTATGAAGATAACATGGCCTGAAACCTGTGAAGCATGTTTTATTTATTTTTTTTTTCATTTATTTTTATTAGTTGGAGGCTAATTACTTTACATCATTGCAGTGGTTTTTGTCCTACATTGAAATGAATTAGCCATGGATTTACATGTATTCCCCATCCTGGTCCCCCCTCCCACCTCCCTCTCCACCCGATCCCTCTGGGTCTTCCCAGTGCACCAGGCCCGAGCACTTGTCTCATGCACCCAACCTGGGCTGGTGATCTGTTTCACCCTAGATAATATACGTGTTTCAATGCTGTTCTCTTGAAACATCCCACCCTCGCCTTCTCCCAGAGTCCACAAGTCTGTTCTATACATCGGAGTCTCTTTTTCTGTTTTGCATATAGGGTTATCGTTACCATCTTTCTAAATTCCATATATATGTGTTAGTATACTGTAATGGTCTTTATCTTTCTGGCTTACTTCGCTCTGTATAATGGGCTCCAGTTTCATCCATCTCATTAGAACTGATTCAAATGAATTCTTTTTAATGACTGAGTAATATTCCATGGTGTATATGTACCACAGCTTCCTCATCCATTCGTCTGCTGATGGGCATCTAGGTTGCTGAAGCATGTTTTAAAAACCATAATGGTCTATTTAAGTGTTTTTGAATTAAGTTGATTTATTTCCTTAAAATGTGGTTGAATGTGCAAGCCACTGGCAATACTGGTCACAGGTGGCCTGATTTTTAAAAGCTGTGAACACCCCAATGCCAGGGACTTTGTAACTTTTTTGTAACTTTATAACTTTAATTCAGAAATTGAAGCTTCTATTTATCAATCAAAAAGAAGTAAGAGGGAATTCTTTGGCAGTCCACTGGTTAAGACTCCGCACTTCCACTGCAGGGGACACCTGGTTGGGGAACTAAGATCCTTCAAGGCACATGGTTCATGATCTAAAGACAAAATTGTCAAAATGGAAAGAAAATAATAAGATGCAACATTAGGAGCAGGGTGACAGAGAGAGCCTTTGAGTATGAGTGATCCAACCTACTATTAAAAGCAGGGCAGGGGATGCAGGTTTGATCCCTGAGGAACTAAGATTTTTTGTGGCCAAAAAATAGAGGGGAAAAAAAACGAGCCTGGGGAAATATATTTTAAATCCCAATTTCCTCTTGCAACCAGATACTCTTCAGAAAAGGTGCTCAGAGCCTCTGTCACCCTAGTCTAGCTTGTTATGCAGGTGTTTAGGAACAGAAGGGCCAGCTTGGGGAAAGGGGTGGGATTTCTGTAATGGGTGTTTCATCTTTTACAAGTGTAAACAAAGAGGCCAGTTGGTCTAACCTTGCATGTCTTTGTCCTAGAAGCCACTGCAGGTTGTGTTAGCAGCACTGCTTCTGTAACAAAAGACTCACTACATCTTGGAAGAGAATGGCCATTTCCCAGGGAGCAGCCTTTTTCATGCTGGTAGCGTCCTGTGTTTGCAGCACTGTCTTCCACAGAGAGCAGCAGACTTGGTTTGACGGGGTCTTCCTGTCTTCCATGTGCCCTGTCAATGTCAGTGCCGGCACCTTGTATGGAATTATGTTTGATGCAGGGAGCACTGGAACACGAATTCATGTTTACACCTTTGTGCAGAAAATACCAGGTGAGTGCAACTGGTACCCTCACCATCATCTTTAAATCCACACTTTAGCATCTCCTCCTAGAAACAGATGTGCTGAGAGTGTGTGATGTCAGTTACTGAATCTTACAGTCACTGAATGTCTTTCTTCAGAGAAAACTCCGGACTATAACTGAACACATATGGTTTAATTTGGTGTAAAATTAAAAGCGATCAGGACTGCCTGTAGTCTGAACCCATGTGTCTAAGAAGTGTAGTTATAATTTGTCTTTACTTTTCTCCAAAGGTGAATTAATAATACTCTAGAATATTGAGAGTGGTCTTAAGAAGAAGACCACTACCACCCTTGGAATAGGGAATGAGGGGACCCTGACGATTAACGTTTTCTGAATATTCAGTCTTCTCAAGTTACACATAGAGTCTAGGGAAAGGAGTAGAAGCGAGGTGCCCACCAGAGAAATGGCAGAGGGACCCTCGGTGGTTACTTTTCATCTTCTCTCCCCCTACCCAATACTCCTTCAAGCCATTCCTCACTTGGAATTGCTGGGGGAAATAGCAGGTTAATATGATACAGAGCCCAGGATCAGGAAGAGTCTGACTTTTGATAATCGGCCATCTCTCTTCTGTTTTGCTCATGGACAACATAGGACAGCTTCCAGTTCTGGAAGGGGAAATTTTTGATTCTGTGAAGCCAGGACTTTCTGCTTTTGTAGATCAACCTAAGCAGGTGAGTTTTTTACAATAGATGTTTAGATTCTCAAATGCCTTGATAGCCTGACCACACCACTGCTGTTAAATATTTTATGCTGTTCACTGCTGATATTGAGGTCATGCGTGAGATCAGTTTTCTGTCCTCAGCTAATCTCCTGGATAACAGTAATTGTATACCCTGAGTTCACCAGGGCTTAGGGAGAAGGAGGTGTGAAAATAACTTGTCACCACGCTGGGAGAGCACCATCTTTCAGGAGATTGTGCTATTTGTATTGACTGTTTAAGATTTTGATTTGAAGCCATCAACTGCATTAATTAATGTAGATGCAGAAAATGGTTGTGAAGTTCTATAAAGTAGAAGGTATACACATGGCATTTGAGGTGAACTCCATTTCAGAGTGCCCTTATACAGCACAAAACCATGGTTATATTCTAGAAATTGGGCAAAACCCATGACAAAAAGTCATCAGTAATAGAAGATGAATGTAGAGTTCTGTCATAGATGAATTTCACATGTGAGCTGTCAGAGCATACAACACCCCATGTGTCAGGGGCCACACTGATATAAAATAGAATAAGGCAGGATGTTGAACTTTGGTAGCATATATTAAAGATATTGTTCAGTGTCACAAGTGTAGTCATTAACCAGAGGAAAACCTGATGTTAAAAATGGCTTGAACTTGAAGAAGCAAAAGGATGTTTATTTTCTCAGCTTGCCATTATGAAATGGCAAATATGCTATAGAAAATTAGGAGCTGTTGAATATAATTGCATTGTTAGAAACTGTTTTGACATTTGGAGAGTAAAATTGTGTTGTGGTTATAATGTTTAAGAGGCAGTGTGTTGTCAGAACAGATGCTTACTCAGAAAAACAATGGATTTAAAATAATGGATTCTAACTTATCATAATTTGAACACGTGTACCATGCATGTAGGTGCTGGTAATGCAAAAATGAACCTGATGTGCCCTGTCCTGCCAGAACTCGTAAAAGGCGTGGCATAATGACAGCTGCAGCTAGCATTTCTGTGGCATCTCTGCACAGTCGGCCTCTTTTTTTTTTTTTTTTAATAAAATTGTTCTAACTGTAACTTATTTATTTATTTTATTTTTTTTGGCTGCGCTAGGTCTTGTGGTGGCACGCAGGTTTTCTCTAGTTGCAGCGAGCAGGGGGCTACACTCTAGATGCAGACCTCTCGTTGCAGTGGCTTCTCTTGTTGCAGAGCACAGGCTCTAGAGCATGTAGGCTTTGGTAGTTATGGTGCATGGGCTTTGCCCAACAGCAGGTGGGGTCTTCCCGGACCAGGGATCAAACCCGTGTCCCCTGCATTGGCAGGAGGATTCTTAACCATTGGACCAGCAGGGAAGTCCAGTCTGCCTCATCTAATGCGCACAGAAGTTTTATGTGATGGTATCCATCTCACAGCTGAGGACACCAACCCCAGGAGGGCTTGCAACCAAGCCATCCAACTCCAAGCCTTGTTTCTTTCACTACACCAACTTTCTGGCCTGATGCTGTTTTTTTAAAATGTTTTTATTAATGAATCAATATGAAATTCTTTAATATCATACCATTTTTCTTCTCTTTCTTTTTTGGCTGTGCTGTGCAGCTTGCAGGATCTCAGTTCCCTGACTGGGGATTGAAATTGGGCCATAGCAGTGAGAGCACCAAATCCTAACCGCTCGGCCACCAGGAAACTGCCCGCCCCCGTGTAGCTAATTTTTATATGAGACACAAAAGAACAATTAAAATGACCACACTATAAAAGAATCATTTTTATTAGGGCTTAATCAAAATGAAATGGCTTCTCCTCCTTCAAAGAAGCCCACTTCTCGGGGTCTCTGCTCTTCAGAGCGGAAAAGGCTGATGAGAGCCCTCGGCCCCCTCGCTCCTGGTACTGTCCCAGAGCATGCCGAGGGAGCAGACATGCTCCTCTAAATGCACTGTTCACTTGATATGTGAATCGTCTCTTTTAAAGGGTGCTGAGACTGTTCAAGAACTCTTAGAGGTGGCCAAAGACTCAATCCCTCCAAGTCACTGGAAGAGGACGCCAGTGGTCCTGAAGGCAACAGCAGGGCTGCGCTTACTGCCAGAAGAGAAAGCTGAGGCACTGCTCTTTGAGGTACATTGTTGTTTTGTTTGCTTGCTTGTTTTTACAAGAAACCAATGATGGCTTACCTAGTTTCTTAGGGAAAAGGAATGAGTTCTGTTAAAATTTTATCTGGAGAAAATGAAGAGTGTGGTTTTCTAAATATTATAAGATATGTTCGGAATCTGTTCTGTCGCCTTAGGGAATCTAGATTTCTTTCCTTTTTTCGCTAGGTAAAAGAGATCTTCAAGAAATCACCTTTCCTGGTACCAGATGACAGTGTTAGCATCATGGATGGATCCTATGAAGGTGGGCGAGGTGTTGATGTATGGTGGGGGAGAGGGCCAGGGTTAATAAATATCTGATTAAAGGCACTGGGGAGACGGGGGTAGGGGTGCTAAAGAAAAAGGAACAAATAAGCAAGGAGGAAGGGGATAGCAGGAAATGGAAAGATGGGGAGCAGGAAATGTGTGCTTTAGACATGAAATTTAGACATAAAAAGAACAAAGGTGGGGCCCAGGAAGAGGGGAAAAAATGCTCTGGATGTAATCTTTGTCTTTCTCTCCTTTTTTAGGCATATTAGCTTGGGTTACTGTGAATTTTCTGACAGGTAACACATTCTCACATTTCTCTAAGAACTTAACTGGGTTTCACACATGGTCAGGGAGCAAAATATCAATACCTTTTTTCTTCATATTATTCTTTCTTTTGTTTAAAAAAAAAAATGTAGGATGGGGAGGGAAGACAGGAAGTTAATGTTTATTACCTGCCTTCAGGACTTCAGCTGCAGCAAGAGTCCTTCCTGGTTAGTCTTTGCTTGCAGCCTTAAGTGCTGGGGAGCAGTGGCGTGTTCACAGAATGCTTCCAGTATATGCCAGGAGTAGGAGAGAAATTGCAGACAGAGGAGTGTTGAGCTGCCCAGGAAGTACAAGATGTTCAGGGCTGACTGTCATTCACAGGTCAGCTGCACGGCCACAACCAGGAGACTGTGGGGACCCTGGACCTGGGAGGAGCCTCCACCCAAATCACGTTCCTGCCTCAGTTCGAGGTGAGTCAGATACATACGAGGGTCTGGTTACCAATCCACTTGGCAGACATATCATGGTGCCAAGAAAGGGCCCCATTTCAGACAGCAGCTCCACCATGAGCAGGCCGAGTGGTGTCAATTAATGACTGACTGAACTTGCTCTCACTGTTCAGAGTTCCTGATGATTCCTCCAGCCTTGTGAGATGAGCAGTGTAATCTGCCTTCTTTATCTCTGATTTTGGAGGGGAGGAGAGGGAGGGGGTACTGAGGATAACATCTTCAGATGACTGTGGATCCTGAATAGTCTTTTTGCTTTTTCTGTTTTGCAGAAAACCCTGGAACAAACCCCTAGGGGCTACCTCACTTCCTTTGAGATGTTTAACAGCACTTATAAGCTCTATACACATAGGTGAGGGAGAGGGACATGGAGCAATAATATTTTGTATTGTGTGATTCTCCTAACTTTTCAAAGCATTTTCACATCTCGTTGCACCTGACCAGGCTTACAAAATTTTTGCCAGTCCCCAAAGGCCTGTTAACTGAAACCCAAGCCACTTACCAAAGCCCAGGGGACCCAAGATTCTCTATTCTTGGCCTAAAAACATGTAATAGTAATAAAATAAAAAGTAATATAAGATTTTAAAAAATAATATAAAAGAGTAAAAGATAAGTAATATAAAAGTGAAAGTAATGTAAGTCAAGTTTTCTCTAGAGACAGAACACTCAGAGAAGGTTCAGCCAAAGCTCTGTGTCAGCTTCTTTTAAACTGACCTCAGATGCTCAAAATCCAGCCTAGAATTTGATCACAGTTGGGCTAGAAGCCAAGATAATGAGAACTTTTCTGCAGATGGATCCCCGGGTGGGACCCTGGGAGGTGTCACCATCTCTGGCCTTTAAATCATGGAAAGTTCTTACCGCACAGCCTTGAACTGAACTATGTAGGAATTACTGCTTGTTGTCCACATGAGATGAGTAGGTCACAGAGAACAAGGTTTTCCTTCCTCCAAAGGGAGACGGAGAAACCATATTACTTTTGGAAGAAGGAGCTTTAAGCTGGAGAATTCAGGACCAGCATGAAATCAGTCAATCCTGTGTTTTACAGTTACTTGGGATTTGGATTGAAAGCTGCAAGACTAGCAACCCTAGGAGCCCTGGAGACGGAAGGTTGGTCTGGGTGCCTATGCTGGTCGGGGTGTGGTGAGAGCGACACCAGTGCTCAGCTTGCCTTTTCCCTACCTTGGCAGTGATTCTGTGGTAGAAGGGGTTATGCTGAAGTAGGAGGCATATGTTGTATAATGGACATAATATTGGCAAATTCCTTTTCTACTTTATGAGTTCAGATATTTTTAAAGATATATTATTAGCCATTTCTAGCATGAAGTCTGTTGGTATAGCATGAAGCATCTGCAGAAGCCGAAGCATCTGCAGAAATTAAGACTCAAGGAGTAAATTTGGCAGGAACTCACTCAGGCCCTTAAGTTTTATGTGGGAGGTGCAGGCAATAGTCCACTAACCAGATAGAATAACCAAACAGCTCCACTCCTCTCTTCATAGGCAGAAAAGGGGTCAAAAGTTCAGCTTTTGGGGTCAGGCAGAACCAGGTTCAGTACCAGTCTTGTGATTTGGGGCCAGTTAGCTAAACTTCTTGTGCCCTTTTCTTCACCTTAAAAGAGATTTTGCATTTAATTCAATTTGTATGGCATGTGGTTCACAGTAAGCTATTATTGTGATAATGATATGACATTTCAGAGTTTACATTTTCAGTTGTATTAAGTCTTACAACAACCAATGAGAAGAGTAGACCAGTATTTTTTCCCTTTTTTTAGAAGTGAGGAAACTTTATTCCATTATCGGTTTTAGATTTAATATATGATAAAAGCCAACGACCCCTCTGCCAAATAGACATAAGCATGAAAATTTGCCTGGAGTTTCAGGGGGTTCACCAAGCCCATCTGTGAACCCCGAGTAAGAATTCATATCATAGGATGCAGTCCCAGAACTAATTCCATACGATTTTAAGGCCCAGCCACCTTGATAATACCTTTTAACCTTACTGGCTTCTTGTTTGCCTTTCTTTCTCTCTCTCTCACACCCTTGCCTCTTACTTTGTGATCTGGTTTCTTCCAGGAATTGATGGACACACTTTCCGAAGTGCCTGTCTGCCGAGATGGTTGGAAGCAGAGTGGATCTTTGGGGGCGTGAAGTACCAGTATGGTGGCAATCAAGAAGGCAAGTGGTATTTTTTCCACTGGTTGAAATTACATTTATAGTAGAAGTCTGGAAAAGTCCCATGGGAAACTTCTTCCAGAGCGCAAGAGAAGAGAAGCTTGTCTTTTGCGGGAACAAATTCCAAGGAGATGTTGGTATGCCTTCAGGAGTAGTGTATCATGACAGTGAACACGGCAGCTGTCACTCTCCATGCAGCTCTTTCCCTGCCCAAGTGTTGTGGATCCATTATAAACCTCTTCTTAGCTGGCATCTAACGTATTAAGGGGTCTCGGCCCTCAGCAGGGTAAAACTGTCTCAGATTCAATTAATGTTTAGCTATTTCAGTTAGAGAATTGAGATGATAAAACAGTAATTGATCTTAGGTATTATAAAAGGCATAGACGTTCAACTCAAGGGAGCAACTTAATTTTTCCAGTGAAGGAAGCAGGTGAGCCTCTGCATACTTATTGTAACTGCATTGTAACTGCATACTTATTGTAACTGCATACTTATTGTACCGTGAAGCACAGTGCTGGGTGGCAGCTTGAGGTGGGCCGTGGCTTCTTTGGTGAACACAGGTTAGGGAGGGAGCCTCCATGGAGAAGCAGGTACCAGTTCTCCAGAGGGATGAAGCCGCAGGAGTTTGCTCATCTTTGCCTGTAAGCGCTTTGTGCCGAACCTCAGCTCGCCTCGGTCCTCCTACTGTTCCTCCCTCCGCAGCTTGCCTCTCACTTTTCTCACCTTGCCGGTGTACACCTTTGCCGCAACAGGAGAGGCGGGCTTTGAGCCCTGCTATGCGGAAGTTCTGAGGGTGGTGCAAGGAAAGCTTCATCAACCAGATGAGGTCCAGAGAGGCTCCTTCTACGCTTTCTCTTATTACTATGACCGAGCCGTGGACACAGACATGATTGGTAAGTTCACACCAGGTGTCAGTGCAGGGGGAGCTGGGCAAGGCTGTGGTGGGGAAGGGAAGTGACAAAGGAGTATTTGCAGTGCTTTGTTGAGCTGGGCACCCTGCTTTTCTCCCAAGTCACTCAAGTGGGAGAGTATGGTTTAGAATCTTTTGGAGCTAGAAGGTGGCCTAAACAAGTATACATGAAGTATATACTAAACAAGTATACATGAAGTCTTTTTTTTCTTTTTTTTACATCTTTATGGAGGTATAATTGACATAAAATGCACATATTTCAAGTATATGATTTGGTAAGTTTTGACACGTGTAAACACCCTTGAAACCATCACCAAATTCAAGATAATGAACATACTCATCACCCCAAAATGTTTCCTCTTTCCGCTTTATAACTGTTTTTCTTATCATAATAGTAACACATTTTGTTTAGCTGTGAGAATGTATATATGTGATCAGTCATGGCCTGAGATATGAATTAATTTTTTATTTTCTACTGTATTTAATGGCCCCTTTTTAATGGGCCAGTTTTTTAACTGTAGTTAAGCAAGCATACATAACAAATTATAAATAAAATAAATGGCATAATTATATTGTAGGATATGTCATGTTTGTTTATCTCATTTTTAATACTGGAAATTTTTTTACTTTTTCATTATTATAAATATCACTAGGATGAATTTTCTTATGTTTCCTGGGAGGTCTTTTGACTTCAACTGCTGTTCTGTTTCATTTCAGATTATGAAAAGGGGGGTGTTTTAAAAGTTGAAGATTTTGAGAGAAAAGCAAGGGAAGGTGAGTGTCAGTGGAAACCACTGAAGGCAAGCCTGTGAGGCTGTGCCTGCCGACCCCAGTGACCCTAAGGTCACTTGATGCCCCTCAGCCAGCAGAAAGCCACTCAGCAGGCTGGTTTCCTATCTTTGCCAGGAATTAAAAGCATTAAGTGGCAAAGAAAAAATGAGAATACAAGAGTTTGGACAAATGGTGAAAACCTTTTCTTCTTACTACTTTTCTTTCTTCCTTTTTTAAAAGTTGAAATAGTGTTATCAGTAGTAATGAAACTAACCACCAGAATATACGAGAAATAGTTGCAGAGGCTTCCTTGAAGGAGTCCATCATAAATGCAAATAACTGATCTCATCCAGAGGCCATGAAATAGGACTAACTGGTATTTTCCTGTCTTCTGGGCCTCAGCATTAAAACTGTATAAGGGACTTAGTTGAATTAAGCCCCAACATTAGGTCATAGAAATACATGTCATAGCAAATGAACTAGTTAAGACCCATGCACCTTTGAGTATATGAGATGTCACGTCAAAATGTGCAGGTTCTTGATGAGCTGGGGTCCTGCAGAGGCTGTCAGTGCACAGTTCTAGCCCTTGAGATTCCCAAGCATCTGGGAGAGGAAGAATGAGGATTCTGCTGTGCTCATTCTCAGTCTGTATTTAGAGAAAATCACAGCTCTCAGATGGCTGCAGATTTGCATCGCACTCTTTCCTTTCTCTCACCGCCAGTGTGTGATAACCTGGAGAACTTCACCTCAGGCAGTCCTTTCCTGTGCATGGATCTCACTTACATCACAGCCTTGTTGAAGGATGGCTTTGGCTTTGCAAGCAGCACCATCCTACAGGTAAGAGATAAGACACCAGTGTCATATAACAGTCCTCTCACTTCGCAGTTGGGGAGAAAGAGTTAAAAACTTGTTTAGTAATCAGAGTGGCTGCAGGTGGAATTTTGAGATAATTTTATTCAGGCTATGGACAAGGCAGTGTGCAAGGCCCCATTGATTATAGGAAATTAGCTTGATGCAATAGCAGCTTCTAAGTGCAGTTGACCCTTGAATAATACAGGCTGAATAACATGGATTATTTTCAATAGTAAGTACTATAGTACTATACAATCTGTGGTTTGTTGAATTCATAGATACGGAGGGCCGACTGTACAGTTATATGCAGGTTTTCAACTACACAGGGGTTGGCACCCATAACCCCCTGTTGTTCAAGGGTCGACTCTATTACCAGGCAAGCTATCCCAGAGGCCATAGAGCAGAGTGGCTTGCGGCCCAAGTTAAGATGCCCACGTCACATGGTTTATTAAATCAATTTCAAAAGTCAGAGTGAGAAGCAAGGGGAACGCACAGGATGGGGTGCAAGCAGTGCTGTACTTCCTGCATTCTGGGTTCATATGTCCTGCCTGTCTTTGCCGCTGACAATGTGGTTTCAAGTACTGTAGGTAAAGTTTGGTCAAGGGAGTGCAAGGACAGGGTGCCTGGGGCAAGCTGCTCTTTTTGAAGGGGCACGAGGCAAGTACACTGGTCACTAGCATCAGCTCGCTCATTAGCCTGTCTGATGATTTTGTTTAGCAGAGGACATGAGGCACCTCTGCCAAAGGGTATCACCAGTGAGTGGCTTACTAAGACCTCATGAGTATTGAATGCCTTGCGTAGTATGTCATATGTATTTTGTATGTGCCTCATATATTTAGTGCCTCTTGAGTTTTGGGTCCCTCTTTGTCTTCCTTACTTCATCTGTAGTAGCTTGTTTATCTATTCCAAACACATCTCATCCATCCCGTATTTTTTCGTATTCTATACTATAATTGAGTAATTGCATATTTTAGTCACAAAGATGATGAAGATGTAATCTCTGTCCTCAAGTATTAATAGTATACCGACCGTTAGAGGCGATGTAACAAACATCCGACTGTGGCACAAGGCAGCTCTGAACTTAAGGTCGGGGACCTGGATTGTACTTTGTGAAGTTCCCTTCTCTTGCGTCACTTCCCCTTCCTGTTTCTTCATTTCCAGACCAGTTTATAGTGCCTCATTTCTTGTGTTATACAGACTTCATGAATTCATTTGTACAGAGGTATTTGGATTTAATGTGTTGCTATACCAGCCGAGAATACTGGCATTTAAGGGGTTACTTGACCATAGTCAGTAAAGCGTGGTGCTAAAAGCATGGGCTCTGTTCTCCATCAAATCTGGGTTCAAGCTCTGATTCTGCAAGCTTACTAGCTCTGTGACCTTAGATGACTTCCTTCCCCTCTCTTTTAAGTTCCTCATTCAAAACACAGGGGTCCTTACAGTACCCATTTCTTAGGGCTCTTATGAAAATTGAGATAAAGTACAGTGCCTGGCACATAGTAAGTTATTAATATAGTGTAGGCATTTCATACCAGTGGGAGGCTTGGGGTCATCCTAAGCCCTTAATACTAAGTTAACTACTACCTGTACTTAAGTATCAACAGTAACCAAATCATTTAAGGACAATTTTCTGCCACTTCCATTTCTGGCATCCTTTTAGTCTTCATTTCAGTGGCAGCAGAATTTGTATCAGGGGTGGGGAGTCCCCTATTCCAGAGATCGCGTCACTTTGGCATCGAGGTCCTGAGGACAGAGGAAGGACATTTCAGGGTGGTGGGGCTAGGGGGCACTCCCAGTGTGACTTGGTTATCACAGACTAAATCTCAAGATAATGATTCACATGCCATTCTTCTCAGCTTTTGGGACATTGCCTGTTGACTTAATTTTATTAAGTTAACACAGAAGTATTGTGTCATAAAAAGTTAGAAGATTAAAACCAGTCCACTGATATGCAACCCTGGGCATAGCATCTTTATAATAGCTTATGCAGAATTCCAGTAAAACTGATAAAATGGAGTTATCTTGTTGAAGCAGAGGTAGGGGGCCTGGAAAACCACCATTTGCCTCCTTTCTCCTTTGAAGCATTTCTAAGGAACCCCTAGGATTCTGAAGAAACAATTTGATAAATGCTAATCTAATCCTGTTATGTAGTTGAGAAAATTAATTTTTGCCCAAAGTCATTGAACCAACTGAAGCACAATCTGGCCTAGAATGCCTCAGATCCCTTGGTTGGTTATTAACGAGTACTTAAGAAGAGGAGGTTAATTACAAAGTATGAATTGAGAAGCCTAGTATGTTCTTTCCTACCCCTAAATCTACTAACTCCTGTTATATATTTAGTTTCAGGACTAGGGAGAGTTCAGAAGCCTATCTAAAAGGTCCTTTTCAGAAGTCCTGAGTTGAGACCACTTCCTGGGCCAGAAGATTCAGGGATCAGATGGGCAGGTGTAGGGGCGCCGGGCAGTGGTGGAAGGGGAACTTGCAGGGAGGGTTGGGAGAAGCCTCCAGAGACTGGCTACTCCCATGCTGCCTTGGTTTGGCCATGTAGATGATCTGGGAAGATATTCTCTGCTTGTTGTGCTTGCTAGAGTTGAGAATGGAATAAAAATGTGAAGACTTTTTCTCCTTCCCAACAGCTCACGAAGAAAGTGAACAACATCGAGACCGGTTGGGCCTTGGGGGCCACCTTTCACCTGCTGCAGTCTCTGGGCATCTCCCACTGAGGCCACACCATTCCTCTGAGGCCTGCATTTGCCAACATTTTTAAAGGGAGAACGAGAGAGGAGAGGATTCTGTTGTGTTCTGAGCTAGTCTGGGGGCCACCTGGACTGAAGCCCAGTAGCTGGTTTCCCCAAGAGGAAGGGGCTTTTGTAGACAGGTCTTGCCCTTGGGTCTAGAGATTTGGGTTTAACTAATTTTACACATCAAATGTGAACTGTTTCCTAACCACTCTTCATGCACAGCTGGTACCAGAATCTAAATCTTTGAGGTTCCTTTGTATCAGAGAGCCAAAAGTCACAGCTTTGTAACTTAACATTGGGGAACCCAGGGATGGAACCATGGCAACCAAAGAAAAATCTCATTTCAGCCCTTTTAGTGCCTCATCCCTTTGAACATTTTCATTATCCTCTTAGATGTTAAACTGATGACAGGCCCATGACCTATTGACACCGGTATTTTTCCTACACTTTGCCCTGTCCCACCTTTACTTCCACTCCCCTGCCCTTAAAGAAAAAGGTTTTGCTTTCCACGTGTAATTCAAAGAGAAAAATGCCATATCTGAAGTTACACGATCCCACTTTGTGTTAGCGCCAACCCAGCCAGCTGAGAGCAGCCATTCTAAATCTCTGGAGAGCAACTCCTCATTGGCCAGAAGGGGGACATCCAGTTAAGGGGACAGGTTTTGGGAGGGTGTGGCTGCCTTGTACAGACCACCTTCTTTTAATCAAATTTTTATCAGTCAACCCTTGGATTAATGGACATATCCAGTCTTATATAAGGAGTATGTGTGTGTTTTCAGTGCAAATACCTCCTCCTAGGCTCATGTTTATATTGTCATCCTAAACTTGTTTTCTTTGTATTTTCTAATACAGCTATACCCTGGCTTCTGGTAAGAGGCCTGTGGGTGTGCTTTCCAAGGATCTAGATTTTGGTAATAGCCCCTTTCAGCTTGCCCTTTTATTCTCTTTATAGCAGTGTCTCTTTCTGCCCTGCCCCCTGATCATTTTAGCTAGCATCCTCTACATAGTTGTCTAGTCCCAGGGTTTCTGATACCCTTCTTGGTGATACCTAACATTTGACTTAGTTGGCCATCTTGGCCCACACCATATAGTGGATGCTCACTTTGAATATTCAGCATTCAATTTTGTGAATTATTTCCCCTAAAGTCCATTATCTTGTTCTCCCCCACATGACCATCATTTGCTTGTCTACCCACTTGATTGTTCTTGGACTTGGAAGATCTTCCTGTAGTCTGGCTCTTTACCTCCAGCTTCCTTCCAGCAGAATTGTACCTCCACACACTTGTAGCTTCCACAGTAGACTCAGCTTTTTCACATATACTCAGCCCTCACACCAGTTCCCACTGAACCTTATTTTTAATGGTATTCCACTGAGTCAAGAAATATTTAACATCTGATTTGTGTAAATAACTAGGCAAATTTCTATATACTTATCCCCCCCAAAATTTTTCAATTCTATGTGACTTTTTTTCATTCTTCACACTAATGTTTAATTATACTGAGGTTACCTTTATACCTATTCTCTTCCTCCAAAAATGCTAAAACAGAATGAAATAATAGAATCTTTAGAGTTGGAAATAGCTGAAAAATGTAATCCAGCCTTCACCCATTGCAGTCCCTTAATGCTTCTAACTTGTTGTCACCCAGTTTCTGTTTAGGCATGTTTCCAGACAACTCATTCCACTTTGGGACTGCACTGATGTTAAAAAAAAAAAAATCTCTCCTCCAGTCTTACTTCTGCTCTAATCTCTCCTTCCAGTCTTTTGGTGTTTTGAAGAAAACATCTCCTAAATCCCTTACATTCTCTTTAACATACCACTTGACCTCTGGACCTTCCCATCTTTGTCCAAAGAGAAGGCCGTTAGAACCAGTCTTCATACACTAAATGTTCTTCAGGATTAGGGACAGGGAATCCCCTGGTGGTCCAGTGGTTAGGACTCCATGCTCTCACTGCCGAGGGCCCATGTTCAGTTCCTGGTTCCAGAACTGAAATCCCATAAACTTCACTGGGGGAGACCATTTCCCATTAGAAACCAAGTTTCCCCAAGAGATAAGCTGTATTTACTAAAGACTCCTCCAGCTTGATGGGTAAGATTTCCTGGTCTTTTATCACCACAGTTTATCTCCGAAACTTTTTTTTATAAAGGCCACATGTTGTTCAGCTGACTCTTTCAGTCATCCCAAATACTTTCAGAACTGTTGGGTAGATGCATTATAACTCCAGAAATGTAGCTACATATTTTCTGATAATCTTGATTAGAACATCTGGAGAATTAGCCAGTTTATCCATTATAGGAGCAATTTGGAATGAGAATTTTTATTTCTTACAAAAAAGTTTGTCTATAATATTCTTTCTGCCGCTAGTACACTTTTTGGGCCTCTTACTAAGAGGTCCTACAGGGTCTAACATTGGTGATTAGGTCTCCTTTCTGTAAATATGTTATATGTTTCAAATACTTAGGACAAGGCCTGGCGCGCAGTGGATGTTGTGTGTGTGTTTTCGTCAAAGCGCCCTCTGTGGGTGACGGAGGTCCTTGCGAGGTGTGCCTTAAAATCCACGTCTTGCCTGATTCTGTTTGCGTACTTTTGTAGAGCCCATGTTCTTTTTACCTTTCCATATTCTTATGAAAGATGACCTTTTTTCCCTACAGTGACCTTTCTGGACTTTGCCAGTAGTCACCCAGCTTTTCCCAGAGCTGCCATCTTTCATTCTGGGCACATTTTTCCTGAGATTCCAGGAAGACCTGCAACATTCACGTTTCTACTATAGATCTTACAAATTTTCTGCATTTACCTGAAAAGCTTCTCTGTGGTAACATATTTCCCACTCCTTCAAAAAGCAGACTGTTATCTTCTCCTCTCATATTCAAATCAGACTTCTGGGCAAGATATTCTTTATGGCATACAAATCCAATGGATCCAAAAATCTCTTTGATAGGCATCTTGGGTACTGTGGGCTAAGCACTTCAAAACTGCAGAGTAAAGCAACCCGCCCCCGGCCCAGGTTGACCAGCAGTCTGCAATCAAACATGAACAAATTCTGCTGCTAATCAGATTCTTTTTGACCTGGTTCCTGAGGTCTTTTAAACTGTGCAATGAAATTATTTATTGTTTTATGACAGAATACAGTGGTGTCCCACAGAGGAGCCATCGATGAAAAATGGTGCTGTGATAAGGAAGTAATAACTAGCATTTTAAAATTTGGTTTCCTTTTAAGAAAGTCTAATATATCTATAACAAAGGTTAAAGCAATTTGTCTTATTTTACATTCTAGCATTATTAATTTTAAAATAGCAGTTCTAACAAAAATGCATCAATTGACTTTCTAATTCTTGTCTTTATCAAAAAAACAACTGTATAAATTTACAACCAGCATTTTTAAAAAGTTGTATAAATCTTCTTTTTCAAAAAAATTGTTAACAAGTGAAAATGAATGAGACGGCACCTTAGCAATTTTTGTTTTACATAATAAAAATTTCTTTTCAACCAAGTCATAGTCTTCCTTTGGTTTTTCCCCTTGGCTTGGTTGATATGCCCTCCTCACCATAAATTATCACTCATCCTTTGGGGTCCAAAAGTTCACTAAGCAGAGGAGAAACAGAGACTGCAGAATTCTAATGTAAATTTATTAAATTTTGAAATGATGTGGTCTTGGAAAAAGATGTTCGATATTCATTTTTCATCAACATAATCTCCAGAAGAAGAGTATTCATTTGCTTGCGAAGGCCATAATCTGTTCCTAGAGATAAAAGGAAATCAAGTGAGTGATACTCTTGACATTTTAAGGTATGAAGGCAGGTGAAGATAGTACTTTAAAATATTTAAAGTGATTGAAGCAAAAATTGGCAAAAGTTCCAGACAGATTCTCCTTCCAAGTCCCTTCAAAGTAACTTTTAATGGAAGTTTCTCAGGAAAGAAGCTGGACAGCAGCAAAAGGAGTTGAAGCATCTTTAAGAGTCCCTACTCGCTATTTTATATAGAGGTACTGCTTCCATGTGGGCTAGCCCCAAAAAGCGCAGCAGGGACATTTCTGCTCATAAGCACTGGGGAAGGTATTCAGATAAAGATGATAATTTAACAGCCAAGAAAATTAATTCAAAGAAATTAAAGAGTCATTGGCCGAGTCATTCCTCAGTGAGCAAGATTCTTGGAGATCTGGGAGAGCTCTCTTACTTTGAGTGGAGACACTGCATTTGTAGCCTGCAAGCCCCAGGTCCTGAGCAGCACGAGGGGGGTGGCCCTGGTGGAATAGAGCCTTTTCAGTAGGTCCGTAGCAGCCAGAAGAGCAGTGTTGTGGCGCTGTCGGTCTGTTTCATAACTTGTGAGGTGGCTCATGGAGCCTGGAGGGAAAAGGCAAGGTTACCTCCCTAATTCTGTACTGCTGTTTTCTTTCCTAGCAAACCAGATGCAATTATGCCCACTACATCTGGCTCCCAAGGAGCCATTTTCCTGATCTTCCTGTATTATATGAGCTCAAGATACTTCTCCAAGGTACACTGAATCCTTACCTAAGTCTCTGCCATTGAAGGCTGCAGTACTGAGGTGATGGAGCAAGCTGGAGATATCCCCAAAGCCCATGTTGACACCTTGTCCTGCAAGTGGATGGACCCTGTGGGCTGCATCCCTAAGAATAAAGCAGAGTTCAGGTGTTGCCTCGAGCCAGAGGGAAAAGGGAGCGGCTCTGCTGTTACCGTCTTACCCAATGAGGGCCAGCCGAGGCCGGACGTACTCGGCGGCATGTCCCAACCCAAGAGGAAACAGGACTCGGCTTTTGGCGTCCACCCTGGCTACACTGGGGGGCAGCTGGCGAGCTGAGACTCTAGTGGGCTTCAGAAAGGCAACTGCAGACTGCAGCATGGAGCCAACTGAGTCGATGAAGTCTGTGTGGTTCACATCACTCCACTGAGTAGTAGTATCGACCACAAAACAAAGTGAAAGTTCATCAGCAATTCCAGCAGGGAATTAAAACATTCAACAAGGCAACCATTTTATAACCACAGTCATGGGTAGTGGTACCACAAGTGACAAGCCCCTCAAATGAATGCAAAATGCAATTCCCCATCACTCCCCACAAGCTGTAGGATCAAGTCAAACTGCTCATGAGCTGCCCCTGCCTACCTCTGAGTTTCATCTTTTACCATTCCTAACCCTCAAAATGCACGTGCCAGCCACAAAGTAGCGCTCTCTATGGCATGCTCTTGATTCCACACACCCCTCTGCTTAGAATGTCACCTCAATTCTAGTTCACCACGGTAACACCCAGGAGTAGCCAGAAGCTATCATCGCTTTGTAAACCTCCCTCCAAACCATCCTCTCTCTATCGTTCTCCTCCAAGCGCCATAGTATAGTATCCTATGCAAACTCTACCACTGCACCCTAACTCATTTCTGTGTCCTTCCTCACTTGACTTTGAGCTTCCTGAAAGCAGGGACTATATCTCACTTGTCTAACGCCAGCGCCATCTACATAGCAGCACTCATAACTTGCTGAATGAATGTACTGCAAAGGCCTTATGCCAGGAACACACACTAAGTGACCCAGAAAGGGTCATCATTTATCTTGGAAGCCCCTTTAGTACGTTTAGTTCCTTTTGTTCTTGCTGGCTTTTGTTAAAAATTATCAAAGTATTATCGCTTCAAAAAAAGTTACTTATCCAAGTAACTTCCACCCAGGCAGCTGTTTCAGTCAGCAGAGCAGCAGCCCACAACCCTCAGAAGGGCACACAAGCCAATTTCTGTAGTTTTACATTTTCCTGAAGCCTCTCCCCCATGTAATCCAGATCAAGTGGTATGGGTCCAAAGGGGCAGTGTGTTGATTGTTCTTTCTTCTTACTCAGAACCACCTTTCTGTATCTATCCCTGCAATACACCATCGGCAGGTGATACTCACAAAGGCGGAGTTAATGGCATCCACAAACTCCTCCTCCTCCATGCTGACCAGCTCTGCTGCATGTTCATGGGATGTGGACCAAACCAAGGAACTCAGAGTGTCTGAGAGCTGTTTTGGAAGAACATCAATGCCAAGGGCTGACACTTCGTTTCCTAAGAGCTCACAGGCATGAGGGACAGACAATAAGAAGGGGTAACAAACCTAGTCTGGACATAGTCCCTCAAAACCAGCAAAAGGCTGAGTGGAGTGAGGTTCTAAAAGGAGAAGGGTTGACATATTTAAGAAGACAAGCCAGAAGGACTTCTTACCGGAAGCAGAGCAATGGGCCCAGAGGGGAGAAATCTCTGCCAAGCTACATTGTTTTCAGTGGCCTACAACACACAGGAGAAGAGTCCTTGTCAGAAGTGCCCGGTACCAGTTAGGCATGAGCAGGGCCCCCGATGGTAGGCTCAGGATCTTACCTCCGATAAATGCAGAGTAGCCACGAGAGCGGATTGGTCATAGTTCCAGCTAACATTCCGGATTCCCGCAGCCTGCCGAACTCCTGAGTTGTGACCGTCTGCACCAATCTGCGTGCAGACAAGAGCCTGCTGAGTCTGCCAATCTCTTAATTAACAAAACCATTCCAGAAGGTTGTCCCTGCCTCCTAAAAGTTTTCTCTAGTTCCAACTGCTAGCAAGCCCATCTGGGGCAGGCAGGCAACTCTTTATCACGCCTGCCTCACTCCCAGCTCCTAGAGGAGAAGCCCTACATAAGCAATCCCAGACAGACCACAGCTGGACATCTGACCCAAGGAGGGCCAGCCACAGTTAAACTCAGCCAAGTCTCTTCACCCTGAACTAGACAGCAGTAAGGCAGACACTGGGGTCGAACAGTCCTGATGTAAGGCTGAGAATGGCTGCCATGGAAAAGGGGAAGCTGACGAGCAGCAAGAGGAAAAAATGGGAGAAGCAAGATGAGTGGCTGCAGGATTCCTGAGAGGGAGGGAAAGGGCTCATTTTCTGACCCTCAGATTCCTGTCCCTGTAAGGCCGGCTATCCTTTATGTCAAGACATATGATGATCTGAGAGACTGCCTCCTGTAGAGCATTTACAATAGGGCCATCCTCACTGGAGCTGGTCTGAGTGGGTCCAGGTCTTTATAGCCAAAAGCTTTGCCTCAAATCAACCTCAACTATAGCTAAGATCTAAAGCAAGAGACCATAGACTCTAATAAGGTGTGGATATCCAAGACCCCTGGCAAAATAAGAATCTTCAACTACCAACAATTTGGTCTGGAGGGTTCTGCCATCACCTAAGGTAATATGAACCCAAGGGCTGGAGTCTGCCATGGAAAATGGATACGGCCAGGTATAGCTGACTGCTTTGCTCTTGTAGAGAACGGTCACTCGGTCTAGGGAGGTCAGAAGAGAGAAAACAAAACATTAGACAGTTGGCCCACAGGCTGAGGAAAAAACTCAGTAACTAAATAAAGCAAGGTCTCAAGACAGCTTATCTTTATCTTATCATTGATTTTAGGTCTTTAAACCTAAAAAAATAACCCATGCGATCAATGTTATGGTCTAAGAGCTAATAAAAGACAGAGGCCACAGGGATCAATCAGTGCGTAACCTGACCAGGCACTCTTTGTTTTTCCCCACACTCCTGCTCCGGTTTCACTCTATGCCCAAATCAACCCACATGTGCTTTCACAACAAACAGGGTGGGGAACACCACAGGCCTAAACAAGTTCTAGATTTCATAAGGTTTTCCTTCCCCCTGGAAGACATTTTACTTTTCTGATCATAAAAATTATATGTTTATTACTTTTTTACTTAGTGTAAAAGTCTGAAGTACAAATAAAGGTTTAAAAGAGGGGCGGGGAATCACCTTTAATCATACCACTCAGACATAGCTACAGTTAAAGCTTTGTTCTGTTGCTTTCCAGGTAATTTCCTATGTTTGTACATGCACACACACACCATTCCCCCTCACACACACACACAAGTGGGATCATACAACACAGACTTTTTTCCACCAGTATACTGTGGGACATGTTTCTAAGTGACTGTTAGATCTAAGTTATCTTTAAAAGCTACATGGAAGTTCATTCCATGGATGAACCACTATCTCATATCAAAAAGCATTTAAGTTTAAGTTGCTTCCAATTTTTCTCCCTCCAGAACCCTGAAATATCTATAAAACACACACACACACACACACACACATATATATGAAGGGAATTTATACCCAGACTACACAAAGAACCCATATAACTAAAAAATTAAGACAATCTAGTTCTAAATGGGCAAAAGATTCTTAATAGACACTTCTCCAAAAAAAATACACAAATAGCCAACAAGCATCTGAAAAGACACTCAACATTATTAGTCATCAGGTAAATAAAATCAAAACTATGAGACACCACCTCACAGTTACTAGGATGACTATTAAAAAAAAAAAAAAGAAAGAAAGGCTAAGGGGAATAAGTGTTGGCAAGGGGTGGAGAAATTGGAATTCTTAAAATTGTTGGTGGTAAAGTGACATGGTGTAGCCTCTTTCAAGTTTGGCAATTTATGACAATGTTAAACATAGAATTATTACGTGACCCAGAAATTCTAGTCCTAAGTGTCCACCCAGAAAAAATAAAACATATATCCACACAAAAACCTGTACACAAATGTTCCTAGCTGTATTCACAACCACTAAAAAGTAGAAACAACCCAATGTCCATCAGCTGATGGATGGATACATAGTATGATATATCCACAAGAGACTGGAGTACTGACACATGCTACAACATAAATAAACCTCAAAAGTATATTAAGGGACAGAAGTCAGACACACAAAAACACACATTGTATAATTCTACTTAAATGAAATGTCCAGAAGAGGCAAATTCTGAAAAACAGAAAGTCAGTGAATTGTACGCTTAAAATGGGTGTACACTTACTGATATGTAAGTTATACCTGAGTAAAGCTGTTTTAAAAAAGAGACAGAAAGAACAACCCTGAAATAACCCTCAGAGGGTTTCTTTATGTTGAACATCAGTATCTGTAGGAGGGATCCTTCCAGTAAGTCCCAGAATAATTCTAAGACAGTTCTCCTTCCAAAGAGTGACTGGAAGACAGGAGAGTCAGGGGCTTACCTGACACAGCCTCCAGCTGCTTAGTGAGAGCATGCATGATGACATCATTCTCCACTATATAGCCCATGTCATCTAAATTATCCTTATCGAACATTATCAGGGCCTCTGAGCAGGCATCCCACACCTGGAAACACAAAGGGAAAGCATGTATTACAACCCAAGGAAAAGGAGGTATTACTCTAATCAGAAACTGAGCACTGCTTTCCCAAGGGACTGAGGCAGAAAAACCCCCAGGTGTCAGTCCCTCTGGCAGGAGATGTACAGTAAAAAGAAAATTCTCTTGTGAATGCTTCCCTCCTACTTCCCGAGATGGAGTGTATACTCTGCCTGAATTCTTCCCACATTTACAGAAAACCTGGAGAATGTGTACTCCTTTATTTTAACTAAAGACAGACTGAGATATCTTGCCAAAAGTGATAAAGGAGGCACCTGCATTCGCCGAAAGGCTCTATATCTCATGTTGCAGATGTGGTCCCAGGCACCAAAACCTATGAGAAAAAAAGAGCAATGTATAGACCAGAGCAATCTCATGGGACCTACATCCCTCCTGGGTCTCCCTTTGTCCCTTCTTCCTGTTGAGTGAGAGATTGTTCTCAGTGTTCAATAATAAAGAAATACTCACCATTTCTACCCTGTTTGGTGCTAGGGGCTAAGTGACTCTGTTCCCCAGTTCTGATTACACAGCATGGAAAAAGACCCAGCTTTCATGATCAAAGGTCAAATCACATTAAGAGGGAGAAATAATAAAGGAAATTAAATCCATATTGTACTTTCTCTTCACCATCCTACTAAGGTTACAAAGTGTTACAAAGTCATCATACTGAGTTACAAAATCCTACTGAGTTACAATAAAAGTGTTACAAAAATCATCCTACTGAGGTTACAAAGCATTAGTCACTCAGTCCTGTCAGACTCTGTGATCACATGGACTTTAGCCCATCAGGCTCCTCTGTCCATGGAATTCCCCAGGCAAGAATACTGAAGTGGACTGCCATCCCCTCCTTCAGGGGAATCTTCCCAAGGACTGAACCCAGGTCTCCCTCACTGCAGGCAGATTCTTTACTGTCCGAGGCACCAGGGAAGCCTGAGGTTACAAACTCCCTGGATAAAGATGACTTTTTGTTTAAATCTAGAGAACAAAAGCAATTCATTCATTGAGATGTTTACTGAGCACTTATTATGTGCCATATACACTTCTAGGTACAAAGCACAAAGTGGGAAACCAGACAAATGTCAGCCCTTTAGCAGCTGACATTCTAGCTGGAGAGACAGACAAAAAAAAAAAATCATAATATCAGGTACTAAGTGTCATAAAGAAAAATAAAGAGGTATAAGGGGCTAGAGAATGATGCAAGAGTCTCATTTTAGATGGGATGGTTCCACATAGGCTGGCTTGAGGGAGTAACATCTGGCAGAGACCTGAAGACAATGTGCTAACTGTGCACACAACCATCTATACCCTAAAAGCATTTAGCATTCAGGCTCCCCAGCCCCACAGAAGGCTGACTCTGGGAATAAAGAGGATGCTGTTACTAAGTGAAGAGTCACAATTAGTTCATATAGTTTCAATTCCACCAATTCATAATGACCCAACATCACAAATGATGTCTATATGGACCCACATGTCTGCAGGAAGTCTTCCTCAGATCGGAAGTTGACACATGAACAGTTCTTGGAATCTTCAGCTATGTACTAGACTTACCAACCCCACCCTCCTCTCCCAGGCATCTTGGTGAGCTCCCTCCTTGCCAGATGCCCCGCTGACTCTGCCCTCCTGGAAAGTCAAAGACAGGAGACTGGCTCTATGACAGAGGATCTTCTACTCACTACTGAGAAGGGTTGCAGAGCCAGGGGAGATGGAGCTGACCCTGTTGCTGTAAGTTTCTGGCAATTTCCCCATTACTTTCTTTGGACCTGCTTCTAACAACAGGATTTTCTTGTCACAAAAGTGAATATCATGTCCTAAAAAAAAAAAAAAGAAGCAAAATGTTATATCATTTTAGAAAAATCAATTTATTCTCTCCTTTCCAAGAGAAGTATCATATTAACTAATTCCTTAGTGCTTATGATACAAATTTCTTACAGGACACATAAAGAGGGAACACCATACATGGTCCTAAGCAGTAACATACAGCAGCTTTTCAGTCATGTAAACCACCCTGCTCGTGGCAATAAGAACTCTCCAGACCAACCCCTGCCACGCGCAAAGAAGCAAATAATGGCATAGCCCGTAACAAGGGAATAGAATGCCCTAGAAAAGAAAAAGGAAGGAAGGCGGCAGTATTTAGATACAGTTAGTTACAACCTTAAAAGTATTAAGTCACGAAAAATTACAAATCCTGTTCAACAGAAAAATGAAGCTAACAAAATTCACTGTGGCCTCAAGATGAAGTCAAAGATAAAAAAGCTTATAAAAGAAAAAAAAAGCTTATAAAAGAAAAGAGGGCCAAAAAAATACACCAGTGGTGCTGAAAACTCTGGTCCTAAAACATCTGCACAGTGAAGTAAAAAGAAGACTTGGAGACTTTGGTACTGGGTGACGAGCACAGACACAAGATCCTCCACAGTGCCTCAGAAAAAGATGCAGGGGAAAAGGTAAGCAGTGAGCTGCTACTACCAAGATAGGAGAAAACACCTGTGATGGAATTACCGGAAAGAAGAAACACTGCAGGTTTTACTGAGTAATGGTCAGGGAAACGCCTCAAACTTTGACCCCTCTTTTTATTTTGGAATGTAAATGAGAAAAAAAGGCGCTACTGTAATATACAACAAAGAAAGGGTGAAAATCAAGGGCAGCTCCAGTGGGAAAGGAAGAGAGGAGCGCAGAACCGACCAGCTTGGCATGGCGCCCCCTGCCGTGCGGCAGCGGTTCTGCCCTGAAGGATGGGAGCCCCGGCCATGGCCGCGCTCAGCAGAGCGGGTGGTTTCTGGTCCCTCACCTCTCCCGGCCTTGATCTAACAGCAACCGCTTCCCCACCGAAAGCCCCCGCCACCTGCTCCCTGTGGAGCCTACTTGCTGAAGCCTTGCCTCCACAGCAGTGTTCTTCATACCGTGCTCGCATACCTCCGCCCCCAGGAAAGGTCAGTTCTTTGTTCCTCTAGGGTAGCTTTCATTTCAATCTTCCTTCTGTTCGTAATCCCCTTTGCTGGATTCTAAACTCCTTGGGGGCTAGGAATTCTTTTCTTATTGCAATAATGTCCCCAGCAATATATGCTGTTATCTCCTCAACCCACAAATGTCTTAACAGACATTTTTCTTCAATGACAGATCAGGAAACATTTAGGGAAAAGAGTCAGATTTCCATTCCATACTTGTCCAGGGGAACAGAAATAGAAAAAAATAACAAAAATACATATTTTAGGCTATAATATCATTATAACCTCTATAATGTTTATGTTAAAGCATAAACATGTATGACTTAGCTGTTGATTGAATTAAATGAAATTATGAATTATAGGTGAATATCTAAATTTTAACCTTGAAATCATTTCACTCTATAAAGAATCCAAGTTAGTTTTATCAAATGACAACCTAGTGCCATAATAATTTGTCACGTTTATGAATAACAAGATTATTATATGGTTTACTTTTTCCAGCATATCTAAAAGCAAAGTTCCATACAATCACTATTACCATTATCATCACTGCTAATGTTTATTAACTCCTATATGCCTCATGCAGAGAGTTGACTCATTGGAAAAGACCCTGATGCTGGGAGGGATTGGGGGCAGGAGGAGAAGGGGACAACAGAGGATGAGACGGCTGGATGGCATCACCAACTCGATGGGCATGAGTCTGAGTAAACTCCCGGAGTTGGTGATGGACACGGAGGCCTGGCGTGCTGCGATTCATGGGGTCGCAAAGAGTTGGACACGACTGAGCGACTGAACTGATATGCTTGGTGCAATTATATATGGTTTACTATAGTATCTTCTGATATAATCCATACTACAATTTTATGAATAAAAAGCTATTGTCCTAATTTTAGAGATGAGAAAAATCAATGTGCAGAAATTGTGAGTAATTTATACAATTTTACCCAGCTAGAATTAGAGACAAAACCGAGGATTTAAATACATGCAATCTCATATGAAGACCTGTCACTTCATCATTTAACTTCCTTTAAAGGAAGTTTCCTTCTTATTTAAAACAATCATTGGACTGGAAATGAAAATCAGAAGCTCTGGATTTTAATCCCAGCTCTCACAGTTTCTAGCTTTCATCACCCACAAATGCATACATAACATTATGTACTTTATAAATTTCCTTTGGTCAAAAAAAATTAGATCTCCAAGCACATAAAATAGTCAGGGTCATTACTTTATTTTTCAGTATTTTATTTTTAGCTATTTAATATCATGTTTTAGGAAAATCTCTTGGAAAAAAATCACTGGAGAATATCATTTACAAGTAACAATGCTGAGAGGGAAATAGACATTTCAAGCCTAAAACATGAACTAATGTGAGTTTAAAGAAGAGAAGAATCAAGGAAGACATAAACTGGTCTATACGGAAATATGAAGAGGCCATGGAAAATTTTCACTTTTAAAGCAGCTATCCAAGATTAAGTGGATGTCAAACTGTAAAAGTTGATCACCATACAACCTATTAACAAAGAATATTTTTGGGGATACAGGCCATGATGATCAAGGGGAGACATTAGCAAGCACAGAATCTCAAGCAGGTTGATTACTTGACTCAGCAGGACCTGTCCAAGGACAGAGTCTCCTTACCCTGTTCATATTTTATATGAAAAAAGTAGAGGCTTGCTCACTGAAAAAATTGTACCAAAGACTTACAAATCTCCCACCAAGCTTCAATTTTCATGTTTTAGCAGTCAGTATTTCCTCTGAGCTTTTAAAACAGGAAATTAGCTGATATGTGAATTTTTTAGGGAAAACCTAGGCTCGGTAGGTTTGACTTACTCAGAGGCAGTGACTCATAACCTGGGGTACTCAGCCTACGATCTCTCTTTTGTAAACTTACACAGAGAATTGTCTTGCAAGTATCTGCTTAAAGTCAGCCTTGAATTAAGGAACTTATACTTCTATGGAAAAAAAACAAACAGAAAAATGAACAATTACAATACAGAATTCTCTACACTTATAAAAACTTTCCGTCCTTGGGATGTGGGCAAATGGGGTGAGAAAAAGAACAAAACAGGAAGGAAAAAAAGCTAAACAAAGAAAACAGCACACCACCAAATATTAATGAAATTAGCAAAAAACTCAGTAAGACTAAAAAAACTTTTCAAGTACTGAACAGACATTTCTCCAAAAAAGATACACAAATAACCAATAAACACATGAAAGAATATTCATCATTAGTCATTAGGGAAATACAAATCAAAACCAGGAGATGTTAGCTCACACTCACTATTATAACTAGTAACAAAAAGACAATACAGTGCTGTCCAGGATGTGGAGAAATGAGACCTCTCATTTATTGCTGGTGGGAATGTAAAATGGTGCAGCTGCTCTAGAACACTGGGAGTTCTTCAAAACGTTAAGCAGAGTTTACCAAATCACCCAGAAAATCCACTTCTAAGATTATATCCAAGATAACCAAAAATACATGTTTACACAAACAAAAGCATGTAGGAGAAATGATTAGTAGCATTATTTGTTATAGCTCCAAAGTGAAAATGACTCAAATGTCTATCACTTGGTGAATGAATAAACAAAACACGCTACATATATCCACACAAAATATTATTTATTATTTGGCAATAAAAACAAACAAAGTACTGGCACATGCTGGGCTTCCCCCATGGCTCAGCGGCAAAGAATCCACCTGCAATGCAGGAGCCTCGGGTTCAATCGATCCCTGGGTTGGGAAGATTCGCTGGAGGAGGGCATGGCGACCCACTCCAGTATTCTTGTCAGGAAAATCCCATGGACAAAGGTGCCCAGCACGCGACAGTTCATGGGGTCGCAAGACTAGGAGGCGACTGAGCACGCACACACTGACATATGCTGCAACCTGGATGATTGCTGAAAACATTAAGCAGATTCCACGTATATGAAAAAGTCCTGAAAAAGCCAATCTATAGAGATGAAAAAGTACGTGAGTGGCTGCCTAGGGTACTAGGGTGAGGAAGATGGGGGAGAGGGTGGGCTGCATGGGCAGTGACTACTAACGGGTTCGTGTTTCTTTGGGGCGGGGTGATAAAAATGTTCTAAGATTCATTGTGGCAATGGCTGCACAGCTCTACGAATAAACTAAAAAGCATTACATTATATGCTTTTAAGTGGGTGAAGTTTATGGTATGCAAACTGTATCTCAATGAAGCTGTCTAAAAAACAACAAGAAAATCGCCTAACCGAGCTCAGTAGACAACTGCCGGATGACTTCGGTGTCCAGACCGAAATAACCCTGGGCGGGTCTGTGTACCCAAGTGTTGGAAGGACACTTACGGTCCCTCCCACTTTTGACCCTTCGGAATTCTGAAGGAACAAACGTTTGCCCCCGGGGTCCTTCGGTTCCTCTGGGCAGGAAATGGACCACAAGATGTGCAACACTAAGGCTTTGGGCAAACAGTGCCAGGGCTCCCACACTCCTCATCGTTCCTTCAACGGCCTCGCTCCCCGCAAATACTAGCCTGCAGATGTGCTTACCTAAGGCACAAGCCATAGCGGCGCCTACCAGGCCTCCCCCTGACACCACCACATCGTACACGTTGTTCGCCGAGGCGCCAGCCCACCTCCGCCAGGAGACCCGCGGGCCCTTCTGGGCAGCAGCAAAGAGAGCGCCCCACCGGACCCTGGCCAGCTGGGCCACCATGGCGCTGACCTGCGCCGTATCTGAGCGACTGAACTGAACGGAACTGAACATGCCCGCCTTAGGCAGCACTTCCGGAGACGAGCCGTCCAATCACCGGCCGCTAGAGCTACGATCTTAAAACCGGAAGTATAAAGTGCGAAGAGAATAGGCCAATCAGAAAGCGAGTCCTCCCTGCCTGGGCGGGATAGATGAGAGGCTGCCTGGGGAGGGGAATGGTTCGAGTATAGCCAATCAGAGGCCCACGCTAGAAAGAGGCGGAACCTGAGCAGCGTCGCTTGCGCCTCCACCGCGGCTGTCACCGCCGTTTGTTTCTCTACCCGGCTGAGGAGATGACCGTGGGGAGGTCTGCAGGAGCCTCCGGCGGTTCTCAGTGGAGCCATCAGGTGAGGGGAGAAAAAGGAGAGGGATCAGGTCTGCACCCCGGAAAGGAAACCCTGAGAAGGGAGCTGTTTGAAACGTTGCCTTGGAGACAGACGACCGGGGTGTGTCACCGGGGCGTGGGATTCTAGCCCTCAGTGTTTGCAGACTCGAAGGCGGGCTCTTAACTCCGGGACTTGAACCGCTTGCGCCTTGCGTCAGGTTCTTCATAGAATCGTAGCAGTGACCCTCAGTTTTCGCTTATCGTTTCAACCACCTCCAGGATTGTCGTTTCCATTTTGTATTATAGAAGAGCAAACAGACACAGAGAGGTTAAGAAATTTGCCCCCAAATTCAGAAGTGAAGTGAAAGTAGCTTAGTCGTGTCCGACTCTTTCCGACCCCATGGACTTTACAGTCCATGGAATTCTCCAGGCCAGAATACTGGAGTGGGTAGCCTGTCCCTTCTTCAGGAGATCTTCCCGACCCAGGAATTGAACCGGGGTCTCCTGCATTGCAGGCGGATTCTTTACCAATTGAGTTTTCAGGGAAGCCCTCCAAATTCAGAGACAGAAAGTCAAATGGTGGTCTCAGGGCTTGAGGAGTGGGGATGGGTTAGGGAAAATAGAAGTGACTGCTAAATGAAATGAAGTGTCTTGAGAGTTGATTAAAAAATGACTGTGGTGATGGTTGCACAACTGAATATACTGAAACCCACTGAATTGTACAGTGAGTTGTATGAATTGTATGGTATGTATGAATTATATCAATAAAGTCGTTTTTTAGAAAAGAATTTTTCTAAAGTTACACGCTTTTCAGTAGCAAAATGAGGGCTAGGGTACACATACCTTTGACTCAAAATCCAGTGTTCTTTTTCAGTATGAGAGCCAGATCTTTGAGTACCCAGTTCAGCCGTTACCAGGTGTCACTTGGAGACCAGAAACAGCCCTTCCCCCAACTACAGCCAGTCAACCTGTGCTGTCCCATCATGGCCCCAGCCTGCCTCTCTAAGGATTTCTCTGCTATTGTCCTCCAACCACACTGACCCTCTTTCTACCTCTCCAAGAGTCATTTGTTCCAGCCTCAGGTCCCTGCCTCAAGTCCTTTGCACTTGCTCTTTTTTTTGAACCCCAAACCCTCTTTCCTCACATCTTGGCAAGTCTGACATTTTTCTCACCGATAAGGTGTCAACCTGAAAGTCCTCCACAGTGAGAAAGGGAAAATCATCCCAGGACTGAGAAAGTACAACTAATGAAGGTAGCCAAAGTACTGGAGTTTCAGATTCAGCATCAGTCTTTCCAGTGAACACCCAGGACTGATCTCCTTTAGGATGGACTGGTTGGATCTCCTTGCAGTCCAAGGGACTCTCAAGAGTCTTCTCCAACACCACAGTTCAAAAGCATCAATTTTTCGGCGCTCAGCTTTCTTCATAGTCCAACTCTCACATCCATACATGACCACTGGAAAAACCATAGCCTTGACTAGATGGACCTTTGTTGGCAAAGTAATACCTCTGCTTTTTAATATGCTATCTAGGTTGGTCATAACTTTCCTTCCAAGGAGTAAGCGTCTTTTAATTTCATGGCTGCAATCACCATCTGCAATGATTTTGGAGCCCCCCCCCCAAAAAAAAGTCTGACACTGTTTCCACTGTTTCCCTATCTATTTCCCATGAAGTGATGGGACCAGATGCCATGATCTTAGTTTTCTGAATGTTGAGCTTTAAGCCAGCTTTTTCACTCTCCTCTTTCACTTTCATCAAGAGGTTTTTTAGTTCCTCTTCACTTTCTGCCATAAGGATGGTGTCATCTGCATATCTGAGGTTATTGATATTTCTCCCAGCAATCTTGATTCCAGCTTGTGCTTCATCCAGCCCAGCATTTCTCATGATGTACTCTGCATATAAGTTAAATAAGCAGGGTGACAATATACAGCCTTGACGTACTCCTTTTCCTATTTGGAACCAGTCTGTTGTTCCATGTCCAGTTCTAACTGTTGCTTCCTGACCTGCATATAGGTCTCTCAAGAGGCAGGTCAGGTGGTCTGGTATTCCCATCTCTTTCAGAATTTTCCACAGTCTATTGTGATCCACACAGTCAAAGGCTTTGGCATAGTCAATAAAGCAGAAATAGGTGTTTTTCTGGAACTCTCTTGCTTTTTCGATGATCCAGTGGATGTTGGCAATTTGATCTCTGATTCCTCTGCCTTTTCTAAAACCAGCTTGAACATCTGGAAGTTCTCGGTTCACATATTGCTGAAGCCTGGCTTGGAGAATTTTGAGCATTACTTTACTAGCGTGTGAGATGAGTGCAATTGTGCGGTAGTTTGAGCATTCTTTGGGATTGCCTTTCTTTGGGATTGGAATGAAAACTGACCTTTTCCAGTCCTGTGGCCAAGAGTCTGAAATGCAGTACTTGGATGCAATCTCAAAAATGACAGAATGATCTCTGTTCGTTTCCAAGGCAAACCATTCAATATCATGGTAATCCAAGCCTATGCCCCAATCAGTAACACTGAAGAAGCTGAAGTTGAACAGTTCGATGAAGACCAACAAGGCCTTTTAGAACCAATACCCAAAAAAGATGTCCTTTTCATTATAGGGGACTGGAATGCAAAAGTAGGAAGTCAAGAAACACCTGGAGTAACAGGCAAATTTGACTGTGGAGTACAGAATGAAGCAGGGCAAAGGATAATAGAGTTTTGCCAAGAGAACGCATTGGTCATAACAAACACCCTCTTCCAACAACACAAGAGAAGACTCTACACATGGACATCACCAGATGGTCAACACTGAAATCAGATTGATTATATTCTTTGCAGCCAAAGATGGAGAAGCTCTATACAGTCAGCAAAAACAAGACTGGGAGCTGACTGTGGCTCAGATCATGAACTCCTTATTGCCAAATTCAGACTTAAACTGAAGAAAGTAGGGGAAACCACTAGACCATTCAGGTATGACCTAAATCAAATCCCTTATGACTATACAGTGGAAGTGAGAAATAGATTTAAGGGACTAGATCTGATAGAGTACCTGATGAACTATGGATGGAGGTTCATGATATTGTACAGGAGACAGGGATCAAGACCATCCCCATGGAAAAGAAATGCAAAAAGGCAAAATGGTTGTCTGAGGAGGCCTTACAAATAGCTGTGAAAAGAAGAGAAGTGAAAAGCAAAGGAGAAAAGGAAAGATATTCCCATTTGAATGCAGAGTTCCAAAGAATAGCAAGGAGAGATAAGAAAGCCTTCCTCAGCGATCAATGCAAAGAAATAGAGGAAAACAACAGATGGGAAAGACTAGAGATCTCTTCAAGAAAATTAGAGATACCAAGGGAACATTTCATGCAAAGATGGGTTCGATAAAGGACAGAAATGGTATGGACCTAACAGAAGCAGAAGATACTAAGAAGAGGTGGCAAGAATACACAGAACTGTACAAAAAAAAGATCTTCACGACCCAGATAATCACGATGGTGTGATCACTCACCTAGAGCCAGACATCCTGGAATGTGAAGTCAAGGGGGCCTTAGAAAGCATCACTACGAACAAAGCTAGTGGAGATGGTGGAATTCCAACTGAGCTATTTCAAATCCTGAAAGATGATGCTGTGAAGGTGCTGCACGCATTGCACATTAAACACCAGTACATATTTTCTTTTTTTTTTTTTTATTAGTTGGAGCTAATTACTTTACATCATTGTAGTGGTTTTTGTCATACATTGAAATGAATTAGCCATGGATTTACATGTATTCCCCAAGTACATATTTTCTGAATGAAAGGAGTGTTTAAACCCAGTTAGATTTCCCACTTTCTAGGACTCTTTCAGCTAAACCACACTGTCTCTCCTGTTAATTACTCATTCCTAGTAAGAGGGTAGGAATTAGCTAGCATATGAGAAAAGCAGAGGTGTAGACAGGGGAAGCAGGAAAAGGGAGATTGGCAACTAGTAGGTAAAACCCCCAAAGGGCAGGTCCCAGAGTGTGGCCAAAGTCACAGGTGGGATTCCTGGAGCGCAGGGGTGCATGGTGAAGGTAGGTACTCCACAAATGCTCATCACACTGCATGAACCAACTTCAGCTCTGATTCCCTTTCCTGCCCTCCAACCAAGCACAGCCTATATTCTGAGACATGAAATTTCTTTAAAGCAAGTAACACATGTTCCTTGGTCCCCTGCCCCAGTTCCTAATATATAGATTTATTTAACATGAAATTAATAGTTACATGTTGAAATCATAGTTTGACCCACAGTCTATTCTATTTTGTTTTAGATATTTTCCCCCAAATCCTCCTCAGACACAGACGCAGACGAGGAGCTGCATGGGGATGGGCTGGTTTTGCCCAGGGCCAGCAAACTCAGTGAGTTCCTCGGTCCAGAGGAGGAGACAGACTCTACTTCTGACTCAACTGGGAGTTTTTTCGAGACTCTGCAGGCACTGAGGCAGAAAGACATGCGGTGCCGGTTGGAATCCCTCTATCCGTCTGAGCCAGACAGTGATGAGAGCCTCTCTGAAGAGGATGAGGACCCGGAGCGTTTCTTCCAAGACAAAGGCAGGGGGAAGCCACAGGTGCAGTACCCCCCATCTGCGAGGTAAGGCAGCGCACAGCTCTGGCCAAGCCACATTGTGACTCTAGGCCTCATCTTCCTCCTGAGTAAAACAAAGACCTTCTGCAAGTGCCACTTACCCAGGCTCCAGCTCAGCATCAGCCAAACATGTTCTGATTCCTACCCAGCAGTCCTTAATCACGCTGGGTAACCCTTAGTCAACTGAAACTTTGGGATCGATTAAAGAGATGCCTTTCCCAAATATGCTACCTTCCTGAGAATGGCACCGAGGTCCATTTACCTTGCCAAGCCCTGCTCTATGTGGTTCTACTTTATCTCTTGTAGTATTTCTTTCCTCCTTCCAATAATCCTGTAAGCAGATATCATTTTTGCCATCCTGCAGATGAGGAAATTGAGGTTCCAGGAGAACCTTGCTGGAGGTCACATAGCTGGTAATTGTTTGAAGCAAGTTTTGAACCTGGGCCTGACTCTAAAGCCCTCCTCCTCGTCACTGCCCTCTTCTCTCTATCGAATGAAAAGATTCGAGTGCAAAGTAGAAAATTCTTAGATCAATTCTAAGAGGAGACTTTCTTCTAGGGCTGCTGGGTTGGCCTGTGGGAAGGAGAGAGGCCAGGTTGAGAAAAAGGCATGCCTAGAGGCAGTCAGCAAGTCATCTGCCTGCAATACAGGAGACTTGGGTTCAATTCTTGGGTCAGGAAGATCCCCTGGAGAAGGAAATGGCAGCCCACTTCAGTATTCTTGCCTGGAGAATCCCTTGGACAGAGGAGCCTGGTGGGCTACAGTCCATAGGGTCGCAAGAGTCGGACATGACTTACCAACTAAAACCACCAGCCACCAAACCAGAGGCCTGTGGGGCTGTGACGTGAGACTGAGAAACTAGGTGTGACCTGATGGAAGGTGGGGGGGGAGGTGGAGGACTCTGGAGGAGCCGGGCGTCCTGGCCGCCCTGTCCTCCACGCACACAGCTGCTCTGTCCCCCAGGTGTGGCTCCGTGAGGCGCTGCAGCTCCTGGGGCACCCTGCCCTCCCGTACTCCCAAGGCTCATCCACAGCCACCGTCCGGCTTCAGGCCTCCCTCCCGGCACAGAAGCATCAGCTCCTGGGCGTCGTCCATCACCGTCCCTCAGCCGTTCCGCATGACGCTGCGCGAGGCCAGGAAGAAGGCACAGTGGCTCGCCTCCCCGGCCTCCTTTGAGCCCGAGAGGCAGCAGGCCGAGAAACAGGGCCGGGAGGAGGCCGAGTGCCACCGGCAGTTCCGGGCCCAGCCCGTGCCCGCCCACGTCTACCTGCCCCTCTACCAGGAGGTAATGGAGCGCAACGAGGCGCGCAGGCGGGCGGGGATCCAGAAGAGGAAGGAGCTGCTCCTCTCTTCCTTGAAGCCCTTCAGCTTCCTAGAGAAGGAGCAGCAGAGAAAGCAAGCTGCTCTGCAGAGGCACCTGGCCGCCACTGCCGCTACAGCCAAAGTCCCCAAGCAGAAGGCCACCAGGAGGATCCCCAAGTCCATTCTGGAGCCAGCCCTCGGGGACAAACTCCAGGGTAAAGACATCCTTAACCTCCCAGCCCCCTCCTGCCCAGAGGTGCCGAGGGGGTGCTGTGGGGGAGTGAGTCGGGCTCAGGGGTCATCCTGGCTTGGAGATGGGCTGTTCGGGGGTGGATCCGCCAGAGATCTTGCTCAGTGCAGGCCCAGGCCACGGGTAGGGTTGGGTTGGCCCATCCAATGGCGGCGCCTGGTAGGCAGAGGGGTGGCAGGCCCGAGGTTCATCCCGATGACCTCGTCTGTCTCAGTGAGTGGATGCCACAACCTCTGCGGCAGCACAGGCGCCGGAGCAGAGAACCACTGAGACGGCCGGGGACCAGCCTAGGCCAGTACCACCGCTAGCCAGCTGCCCCCAAGGAAAGGCCCCCTCCCACCTCCTGTGAGGTACATTTCAGGAAGCGAAGCTTCTTGACTCTGGCTTTATTCGCTCATTCAGGAACACGTGCCACACCCCAGGTGTGAAGAAACAGATGTGGAGTTTGTGGACAAGGGAGGGAGACAGACAAATCATGACAAATGTGATGAGTCACTTGCAGGGGATAAAGGGGAAAGCCTGGGGGAGCCTGTGGAACATGTAACAGAGTTCCTGACTGCAGTGAGGCGTGGGAACAGTGAGAGAAGGTCCCCAGAGGAAAGTGAGCCTGGGGGCTGACCCTGAAGGAGGAGCGTGGGGAATTTGAAGAAAAGGAATGAAGAGTGTATCAGGAAGAGACAATAGTATTGAAGGTAAGAAAGCTGAACACTTTCAAGGCATGGAAAAGTAGAGGGGAAAGAGAAAGGAGATAGGGGTGGGACAGACAGGCACAAGCCAGGCCTGGGGCCTTGTAGGCTGTGGGAGGGAGTTTGGCCTTCATCCCAGGGGCAGCAGGGAGACACTGAAGGGGTTGGGTTTTATTTTTCAGATTTTATTTATTTGGTGGAGCAGGGTCTTCGTGGCGGCATGTGGAATCTAGTTCGTGACCTAGATCTGTATCTAGATTGAACCTGGGCCTCCTGCATTGGGAGCGTGGAGTCTTAGCCATCGGGGAAGTCCCCAGTGAAGGGTTTTAGGGTGGCTTGTGGTCAGATACACAGTTCAGAAAGCTCACTTTGCTCTGGGGATAATAAAGGGGGATGGGCGAGTCCAGAGGGATTGTGATCTACAGAAGCCTATTTCAGTGACTCAATTGAGAAATTATGAATAAGACAGGACGGAAAAGAGGCTGGCCCGGAGAGAGGTTAAAGAGGAGGAGATGGCAGAACCTGTGACTGACTGAAATGAGAAAGGAGGCAGTAAGAGTGATGTGGGCTTGGGCAGTTGAGTGGACAGTGGGGCCTCTGCCCAAGGGAGACCTGGGAGAGGAGCCGGGGTCTGGCCCATCCCTCCTGCTTCATCTCTGAAGAAGGCACTGTAGAAAGTGCTCAGTAGGTGTAAATGGTAGCTGCTTCTGCAGCCTGATTGGCACATAGCAGTAGTGTCCTAGTCAACATTCGTTAGGGCACTCTCTAGAAAAAAAGAGAAAAAAAAGGAAGTTGTAGTGTTTGCCATTTTCATGGAATAATACTCCTATCCTGGCCAATTTCAAACTTTCCACACGGTGCCAGCTGGCTTGCAAAATTCCTGGAAAGTTAATCACGGGTTCCAGCCTCGTTACACTCCATCACTGCGAGTGTTTAAGAGGGAAAGCTCTCCAAACCTTTTGATATGAAGCTTGGTCCCTTCTCACCCACTGCCACCCTGACTTCTCTTGCACAGAAGCTGAGCTCCTTAGGAAAATTCGCATCCATATGAGAGCCCTAGACACGCTCCAGAAGGCCTCATCCCCCATTGCCCCCTCCAGTAGCCAGGCTGACCGACAGCCTCGAACAGCCACACGGACCCGGGAGGAAAAGCTTGGGTTTCTGCACACTGACTTTGGATTCCAGCCTCGGGTGAATCCTGCCATCCCTGATTATGAAGAACTTTATAAGGCCTTCCAGAAGCAAGCTGCCAAGAGAAGAGACACCCGGGAGGCAACGCGCAACAAGCCCTTCTTGCTGAGAACTGCCAGCCTGTGTCACACTCGGAGGCCCTGTGTTGTCGCCGCCTCTGAAGGTAGAAAGGTGAGAGCTCAGGCAGGAGGGACAGGGCCAAGGCCCAACACACAGGAGGGGCCAAGTGTCAATGGAAGGCACTTCTCACAACATTTTTCTTTAAAAAAAAAAATACTGGCTCAGCTGTAAGCAGATTCACAGATCCTAAACATTTAGGACCACAAGAATACTTTCCTTCCTTTCCTCTCGGTAGAGGGACTTTGCAGAAAGAAGTCCAAGCAAGTCTGGAAGCCAGGGAGTTGATATCCATTAGCCATGTCCCAGTACCAATTCCAAAGAACTCTTCTCCTCTAATTAAAAACTTTGGGATTAAATGAAGACTCTGACTAGTACTTCACCGCAGTTAAATCCTAGTGAAGACAGAAACTAATTGCACATGCTGTCCCACCAATATCAGCCTTTGTTTCTTCTAGGAATCTCCAGAGCCACCCGCCACACGCCTGTCGAGGAGTCGTTCTCTGAATGGCCTTGCTTCCCTCTCTGCCAACACCCTCCCTGTACATATCACAGATGCCACCAGGAAGCGGGAATCTGCGGTCCGGTGGGTGGTCAGGCTGCACGAGGCTCATGGTGCTCAGATCTTGGCCCAAATACTGGAATGCACTTATCTGCTGAGCCTCCTCTCTTGTCATAAGAGAGACCGAGAAAGGGGTGGAAAGGGAGCCTCTGATCAGGACAGGAATTCATGTGACCCTCACACACTGAGTGCTGCAGAATGCCTAGCCATCCCTCAGCCAGTGTCCTTGGGGGACTTACTTTGTGCTGGGCACAGTGATAAAGGTGGAGATACATTATGGAACCTATAGTTTATATCTAGTCTGAAATACAGAAGAGAAAAGCAGCAACTATTGTATCTTGTGAGTAGTATAATGATGGGGGAATGTGGGGAATTGTAGGGGCACTGGGCAGCCTGGGTCTCTTGTAATAGATGTCTAAGGTGAAACCTTAAGAATGAGGAGTCAGCTAGATAAAGGCTGGAAAGAAAGAAGTTTTCAAACAGATGGAGATCCATTGGTGAAAGAGGAAGCTACAGGAACAGGAATTCAGAGAAGCCTGAACCTGCCATAAAGAAGATGAGGCATCCATGGCAGAGATTTGAGATTTTCTGATTCATCTTGGGGAACTATTATAAATCAGTTGGGAAACAGGAGCCTCCTTATTTTTAACTCTTTAATTGACCTGACTGTCCTGGTGGTGGTCTCATCCAGCCAGTGCCCCAGCAGGAGTTCCTCCACCAGGCCTCAGCTGAAGACAGCAGGAGCGGTCAGTGTAACAGGTGGCTTAACCCTGGGAGGACTGGCATCTCAATGCCTTCCTGTGGGGCTCACAGGAGTGCACAGAACCTACTTGGCTGCTGAAGGCCCACAATGGGGATTTTAGAAATGTATTTAGAATCTAAAGGATACTCCCTTCTTCCTCAAATTTCATTCACAGCTGCTAAATCAAGGCTCAGTGCCTCTATTCTGAGGTCTCACTACGATAGGTCTCATCAACCAGAGGGTGGCCCACCTGCAGAGGATGTCCACGTCTGCGTTCTGGCAATAGGGAGTATGACATATTAGCAGGCTAAACTTTCCCACCCTCCTTCCTAGTATCTGTTTGAATATAAACATCCAACTGCAAGAGTCTGGACTTTTTTGGTAGAATTCTCCATAGTACCTTGTAGAGTATTTACGCAAACTAAATGCTGCAAGTTGATCCCAAATTGTCTGTGCATTGAGGGAGACCCATTTCCAGGTCTCCATGGAAACGCAGATATGGATTCCCAAAGGACCATGAACTCAGGCACCTTCCAATCTACCATTTACAGCACAGTTGTCAAGGGCAGAGGCTTGGGAGTCAGACATCTTGGTTCTAACCTTGGCTTTCACTTGCATGCTGGGTAGCTTTGAGCAAGTAGCTTATCCTCCTTGAGGCCCAGTCTTGTTGCCTATGAACAGGGAGACATACTGTCCTTACTTCAGATGGCAGCTGTTAGGATTACAAAAACTAATAGCTTTAAAGTACTTATTGGTGTCTGTTTGTACTTCGGTCAGTGTAGGTAGCTCAGCAAATGGTGCTTATTAGTATTATTGTTTCCAGATAGCAGGAAGCCTGAGTCTAAGAGTATTTTTATTTCATGTTTTCCAGTTCAATTGATGAAATTCTCCTAGGGTAGAAACTCACTGTCCATGGTGCTGGAAAGGCTTCATCTGCCAGTGCATTTAACCACAGAATCTTATTCTTTCTGAAATCCCAGTGTGGTAGTCACCTCTTCATAGAAAAAACCAACTGACTTTCCAGAGAGGTTACTAAGATTGCTTTAAATTATACCCAGGTTGGTCACCTGTATTTTTCTTGCCTCTTCCCTTTAGATGTTCACTTGAGAAAAAGGACAAAGCAGATGAAAGTACTCAGTGGTTGGAGATGCACAAAAAGAAGTGTCAGGCAATATCTAAATCTGTCACCTTGCGTGCAAAAGCCATGGATCCCCATAAGAGCCTGGAGGAGGTGTTCAAAGCAAAGCTCAAAGAGAATCGGTCAGTGTCCTCCATGTGTCAAAGGGATAACTATCTTGGGAGCCACTTGCCTTGAAAATGGGGTTATTACAGTAGGCTCCTGTAATCATAGTCAAGAATTTTGCCAGGCACAGTTAGGAATTTCCAATGTCTATGGGAGTTATTCCATTTAACTGGAATTAAAGGTATTCCAGATTGGAAAAACCTGGAATTCACTCTAAAAGTCTTGTTAATTTCAGGAACAATGACCGTAAAAGAGCAAAAGAATATAAGAAAGAACTGGAGGAAATGAAGGAAAGAATACAAAGGCGGCCGTATCTCTTCGAACAGGTTACCAAGGTAAATCTAAAGTATCATTTATTTTCTGTCTTGGATGAGATGGCTCTTAGAAATTATGAAACAGTTTAATATCTAGGTATTAAACACTTCCCTTAGGCTGAGAAAGATTCTAAATTTGGCTCATTTTATTACTACTGTCTTTCCCAGAGAAAGTAGTGCATTGGTGAACACTGTTTGGACTGATTTCATCCAAGACTGTATTCCAAAGGCATCTATAAAAGGATATTTCACTTCCTGGGGTTTTCACTATAGTCTAGTTTACAGTTTGAATCAAAATGGAGGTTAGATTCTAGACATACACTTGACAGTCTGGCTCTGTTAAGAGTATCTCTAACTTGCTAACGTCACCTCTCCTCCTGTAGTGCTGGTGCCCCAGGCATCCCCAGTCTCTGGAGCTGTGGCACATTTATAGGTCCTCAGGGGTTGGGATGCTCGCAAGCACCCCACAAGGCCTCTTCCAGGTTAAGTGGCTTTCCAACTGCAAGATTCTCTTTTAAGATGTTCTCTAGACTTTTAGGGAAGTTGGACTCAGTTGAGATTTCCCTAAGGAAGCTCTGGGGTTACCTGAACAGCCTTAGAAAGGCCACCATCCCAGATAGCTTTGAGCTGCATCAGGCCCTGTAGATCTCTCTCCTCTCCAGAGTTTCAAACAAAAGTTGGCATTCCATAATGACCTGGTTCCAAATGCTGGGCATTATCAGTGCATTATTGAGGTATTTCCTGGGTCCAGTCCTCCCAGCTTCCTGCATATTACACACACACACACACACACACACACACATTATCAGTGCATTATTGAGGTATTTCCTGGGTCCAGTCCTCCCCAGACACACACACACACACACACACATTATCAGTGCATTATTGAGGTATTTCCTGGGTCCAGTCCTCCCCAGACACACACACACACACACACACACACACATTATCAGTGCATTATTGAGGTATTTCCTGGGTCCAGTCCTCCCCAGACACACACACACACACACACACACACACATACACATTATCAGTGCATTATTGAGGTATTTCCTGGGTCCAGTCTTCCCCAGAGAGACACACACACACACACACACACACACACATTATCAGTGCATTATTGAGGTATTTCCTGGGTCCAGTCCTCCCCAGAGACACACACACACACTGGATTGTCTTGGATTTACTTAGCAACTTAGATTTCTAAGAAAAAATTTCTTATAATGACTCTTGCTCTTTATGTTAGCTTTTTCCTAGGAAGCTCACTCTCAGATCTCAAAAGATCTTTCACCACTCTGGAAAAATATCACTTAAACAAATAAGCAAAAACTAACCCTTTTCTGGTCTATGTACAGACCATCCACCCTGTTACAAATGTTACTACTGCAGCTTGTTTTCAGTCTGTTATATGTAAGTGTTCCTGATGATGGTTTGGTTGCTTTTGAATCTTAAATGTTTTAAGTCCATCTTTTTCATTGTTGTCTCACTTGGTCTTCCAAAAATCTGAATCCTTGGCTGGCAAACATGTGGTTCCCAAAACAGCAATTGGCATCTCCTGAGAGTATTAGAAATACAGAATTGCAGGCCCCATCTGAGAACTACCAAATGAGTATCTGCATTGTAATCCAATCTTCAGGTAGTTCCTATATACTTTGAAGCTTGAAAACGAGGCTCTAAGTAATTTTCATACAAATCTGTGTACAGCATTAATGGTGGGGTGGTGGGGTGGGAAAGAAGTATTAAAGCATACAGATTAAACAGGCAATTTAGAATTAATCTGGTAATTCAGCTATAGCAGATTCATTTCTATTCCACAGGACCTTGCCAGGAAGGAAGCAGAACAGCGGTATCGAGACACCCTGAAGCAGGCTGGGCTGGATGAAGACTTTGTGAGGAACAAGGGTCAGGGCAGCCGGGCTCTACAGTGGAAGGAGCAGTGGGAAGTCGGTGATTGTCCCAGGTGATTGGGGTCATCCTGCAGCTCTCAAACTGCATCTCTAGCAGTGCCGTTGGGAGGAAGCTTTAGAACATTCACTCATATTCTGAGGTCACAATCCTATACTTAGAGTATACTAAACCAGGGATCTTCAAGTAACACATTTAAATTTGGTGTGTAGTGCAGTTGTGAATAAAATATAACCATTGTATATTAGGTCTAGATTCCTTCAATATGAAACAGATCATTTTTCTAATTTCAGTCCAATGCCTTCACTTTTGAAGAAAAATCATGTACTTTTACTTCCTATTAAATGTTAAATTACACTCTTTGACAAGCGAAGGTAGAAACCTTTATAGAGCCCAATAAAAGCTATAAAAGCTTGATTAAAGCCTTTCTTTTCCCTTCAGCATGGTCACCACGGCTTGTTCAAATCTAGCATTTTTAAAAAGTAACTCATTAGCACCATCTCCTCCATTGATATCATCTAAGTCAAAGGGAAAAAAGTACCGTATTCCCATTACTCTCAAATTTTGTTTCGTTAAGTCCTAGCAGGCCTTACCCTAATTCCTATCTCCGTTTTCCCCCTAGAAATTTGCCTTTCTACCCCATACAGAATAATGATAATCTTGAAACCATGCTTATGCCTTACATGATGGTTCCTTTAAAACTTAAAATTGTATAATGCTTTAATTTATTCTGCAGCACTCATGAAACTACAAAAGTTGGCATCAGGAATCCACAGCAGGATTTAGAAGAATCTCTGGAACAGATTTCAAGTCCCATGAAAGAACTGAAGGAGCTGTCTTACGAATTACCAGATAATCTCAGAACACTTGCTTAATAAGGATACTTACAATACTGCTTTTGAATAGTATCAAGCAGCAAACTTGGGGTTGAGTCAAGGTGGGCAAAACTTGGATTTTTGAGTCATGGTTACTTCTGGACAATGGGGGGAAGAAAAGTAGATAACAGAGAATAATCCAAGTTAAAGTGAGAAGTTTGAGATGGAGAGATCAGAGCTGATTAATGGTTCTTTGTGCCTCACACTTAAGTATAGGTACAGAAAAAAAGGTGTAAGCCTTCCTGGTCAGGAAACAAATGGGTCATATGGGCTAGCTGTAAGATAGCAAGAGATAAAAGAGACTGGAAAATATTGTCCTACTGGACTATGAGCCTAGAATTGCCAGATAAACCACATTTTCAACAGAAAACAGAAATTTGCATGTTGGCAACTAAAAATTACTGGGAATCCCCTCGTGGTCCAGTGGTTAAGACTCTGCTTTCACTGCCAAGGTGCGGGTTCATTCCCTAGTCAGGGAATTAAGATCCCACAAGCTGCATGGCCCACCCCCACCCCCCCAAAATTATTTGGAAATAATGTGTGGGCAAAATGATTCACATTTGTGTATCAGAATTAGCCCATGGGGGATGACACCTTTGCGACCCGAAATACAGGGTTTCTCAGTCTCAACACTATTGACATTTTGGGCCAGATGACACTTTGGGGTGAGGGAGCTATACACTGTAGAATGTTTAGCAGCACCCCTGGCCTGTTACTCACTAGATGCCAATAGCATCCCTCTCCCCAGTTCTGACAACCAAAAATGTCTCCAGATATTGCGAAAAGTCCCCTGGGTAGCAAAATGTCCTTGGTTGAAGATCATTGTTCTAGTATAAAAATAAGTGTAAGTTCTCGTATAAAACTGGCGTTTTTAAAATAGAAGTATGAACTCAGGGTAATTATGCATGTCATTAACAAACTAAGAACTATCACTGTAATTACTTTATTTAAAACAGTAGTTAATTCTTTGCTGTATCTTCTCAGAATGTGCCACTGTGTGCATGTATGTACTGTGTCAGCATGAGGTTCATTTTAATAAATTTGAAACTTCTTCTGACAGCCATGACGTCCTACTAGTAGGCGATCTTTGGATGCTTTTCTTCTCAGCAATAATAATTAGATATTCTCTCTCAGGATGAGAGATCTATCATCCTATAAAGAGAGAGATTTATCATCCTATAAAGATAGGATAATAGCAAGAGTGCCTGCTCTAACAAGAGAACTTTGATCATGTTTTTAAAACTACCTTTCTGGACAGTTTCAAGAGTATCTGTTATTACTGCCATTTGTCCAGACTCAAACATGGTCCTTTTGGTGATGACGAGAGTGACACTCTACTAACCACCATCTGGGTTTGTTGGTTGGGGATGAAGATGCTCGTGTGAGGTGCCCCGAGACTTCTGAGCTCAGTTTTACCTGCATGGACTCCTAGGGGTAAATCAGTGCCCCATCTTAAAGGGAAAGGCTGAATTATTTTCTTAATCTACTCTCTAAGAAAACAAATTTGTTTAAAACAAGGAGCCAAAGAACTGACCAGCTGTTTTATTTAAAGGAAAAACAGTTGAAGCTCTGAATCACATGATTTTTAACTTAAAAAAAAAAAAAAACCTTAACATGCTACTGTATGTTCCATAAACAAAGAAAGCAAAGTGGCCAAGTAGAGGTGATTAGGACAAGATAGTACCTCAGCCTGGGCCAAGCAGGGATTCAAGTAATTTATTTTTTTGCAGCCCAGTGGCGGAGAGTCTCTTACTCAGGTTGCTAAAGGGAGAATGTCACAACAGGACTGACATCATACCCTTCTCTGAAGCAACAAGGCATCTTGAAAGCTGAACTTCTTGGTGAAGTGTTATGGTTGGTGGCAGGATTTAGTTCACCCAAGTAAAAAGACAGCTCAGCCTGGGATGAAAATTCTTCAAAGGAAAACCTCCCCTCAATAGTCTTACTGAGAAACTGCAGCCAACACGTAATCAAACTCACTTCTGGGAGAAGTCTATCCCAAAACTGTGCAGTGGGAAGAGAGGTAGGTCCAGTTACCCAGCCCATATTCACTGCTTTCTTCCTTGTCTGCATCAGATGGTAACTGAAGAGAAGCTCTCCTACATTCATCTTCTAGGCCAGGAAAGATGAACAGAGGCAAGTGGGGTCCTTTTTTGTTTTGGTTCTGGCAACTTGTGAGCCATAAGCATCCTGTTCCCACTGAATGCACTCTGGGATCAGACAGAGCTACTCTTCCAGGAGTCAGCACCCATGGCTCATGTCCGTCTTTCAGTTAAATCTCCTTGGTTTAGTAACTGTAAGAGATTAAAAACAAATCTGGAATAGTTACCAGTGAATAATAGGAAAAATAACTCATACTAAGTGAAAGGTTTACAATTGGGGGTGGGGAATACATTACAAGGGTAAGTCAGGGATAGCTAGTTCCAAAGCAAGAGACATGCATAGACTGATAGATCTCATTTATATACTGACCTTGGGACAGCACTTTGACCACTTGATGCTGTCATTTCCACTATGGCAGTAAGATATCCTGATAATAATAATAATAATATTCTATAAGCCAAATTATTATTTGTGTAATCACACTCACTAGTCAGGCAAATCAGAACTGGTGGAACCAAAAATCTTACATCGATCAGTTAACCAAGGTACTGTTAAACCAAAGTCAGTTAACCAAAGGCTGCAGGTTCAAGTAGAAGTAAAAGGAATGGGGTTCTACATGAAAGCTACAACCCAGTCATGAAAAATCAGAGATTTCCTGGCCTTAAAATACCTTTCCTGTGATGAGGAAGACAAGCCTGAGCGTCTCCAATAGGGTGGACATTCCACTCTACACCCAGGGTTGCTACTGTAAGGCGGTTTTGCATAATAATGGATGAAACTGGGTTCTATTTTATTATGAAAACAAAACGAGATGGGAATGAAAACAGGATAAATACTGAACATGTTTTAAAATCTAATCAAATTTTGAGCTGGAGATATATTTGGTGATCTTAATTTAGATGAAGGTAATTTACATAGTAGGATTTAATGGTATAGAAGTTAAAGAAACTTAAAAGAAAAGCATAAAACTTAAGACAAAGAAACTACAGATCTGATTTGATGCTGTGTGGTAGAGACTAGGAATGGTATGTATTTAATCTAGACCAAGAGCGACATGTTTGCACTCAAACTTAGCAATGGCACTTTTGAGAAATGTTAAAGAATTGGTAATTTGTTTTCCTCCTTTTTTCAATTGGGAAATATTCTAAGATAAAGTCAAAGCTAGCTGGCAATCACTTATACTGGTTCTTAAGTTCAAGAATGTAAACTCAGTGGGGCTACAGAACCCTATTTGGGATGACCTTTAGTCCACAGGAGGTCAAAAAGCCCTTAGGTCTCTGCTGGGCCTGCACAGTGAGTCCTCTGATTCTCAAAAGACCTGGCCACACTGAGGGAAAATCAAAACTGTCCAATCTGAACCATCTGAGTGAGAGTTACCTTGTAGTTTTTCATATATTTTCCATGATAATTTCTGATACTTGACTTGGTTGTTCTCTGATATTCTTTCTAAGTTATCTTTATTTTTAGAGCATATTGACAGGAGTCCAATTGGAAGTCCATCAATAGATTCTTACAGGTCTGATCTACAATGCATGGTGATCTTTAAGAAACAACTTGGAATGGCTACATGTTGTTTTAAGGTTTGCTACGGCCTTCTCCTTCTCTGGCATCTGAAAAGAATCCTTAAGGAGTAATAATCCTCATTCACTGGTAGAATGGTCAGGTAGTAGCTAGACCCTGGACGAGGAAGAAGATGAAGCCTGGAGCCTTTGGGGGCTGACAGCTTGAAAAAAAATCAAAGGTACTGAAGAATGTGATAAGCCTACCTTGAGAAGGAAAAGGAGGGAATGAGCAATGGAAATGCCTTGATGACAGGAAAATAACAGTGGTAGAGTAAAGGAAAATAAAATAAGTGAGGCTCAAACAGAAGTTATATTTGTATACACACAAGGATCCATGAGGAAAACGTGACCGTGCAGGATGTTCAGCTTCATCTAAGAGCGGCATGTTCCTCTGGTGGCATCCACAATTAAGCGTCTGAGGCTTCCATTAGAGGCCCCTGTGTTCTCCTGGGGTGAAGGCCAAGTTTTGTTTTCTTTTTTTTAGGCAGTTTGTGTTATTGTGTCTGCCTGAGGCTGTCAGTGAGCATCACCCAGACAAGGACACTTTGAAGCCAATTCCATGTTCAAGAGAACAAATGTACTATTATTGGACTTTATGCCTACACAAAACTGACCATGTCATACCCCATTTAAAAACATGTCATGTCTCCCCAGTGCCCCCAGGATAAAATCATGTCCTGTAAGACCCTCCAAGAGAGGAACCAGCTTGTCTTTCCTGCTCTCATTTTTCCATTCCACACCTTTCCATTCCAAGTCCACTACACTCAACCCTTTGTGGTTCCATAGCCAGGCATGCTCCCTCGCACCTTCTGCCTTTGCGCATACTGCTTACCTTTACACCTGTTAAATTTCTTCCAAATCCCTCCTACGTCTCCATCAAGATGACTGCTACTCATCCCTTAGCTCTCAACTTAAGCTCTAAAATTTATTCCATGACTTCCCCCAAGACTAGCACTACTACCCTGAATAAAATCTGCCAGTTATTGACCCATTGCCCTTCCCATTCTAAACTCTCTACACAGCACAACTGCAGGGGCACCATTTATATAGCTATGGAGTTATAAAAGGTAGAGGCCCTAACTCTGACTATAAGCTCTTTGAGGCAGAGATTGTATTTACTACTGTATAACTAGTACCCAGCAGGGTGCCTTGTGCTAAGTAACAGAGGATATCAATAAACTTATTAACTTTATTGGGTATGATAAAGATATAATTATGAATAACTATCTGTTAGACATACTAAATATTTACTGATACATATATTAGTATCTGTTGAATGAATTAAGTCTTCATACATTTGGCATTTATTTGGGGTAATATGGAGTGCTTCAATTAAAAAAGGTATTTAGTAGCATGGGAGAGAAAAGCTCCAAAGTTTCAAACATTAAAAAAAAGAAAACACTGAGTGTTATGGATTGGTATGTCAGGTAATTTGTACTAAGTACAAAGAGAAGGAAATGATTTTCCTGAACTATTCAACCCAATAGTTAATGAAAGTATTTCTTTTATAGAAGAATCACAGTTAATAAAAGCTGAAGGAAAAGGAAGAATCAGGATATCACTGTTTAAGCCCTAATGAAAAAACAGATCTCGGCCATGATAAGTAATGGTTGCCAAAGCTTTTACATAACCCACTGGTCAATCTTGAGATCTGTAAGAGAACAACTGAATATCATATCTCTCCTGATGAAACCTAGTAGGACGTAAGAGAACCACCAACAAAATATTCTTGCCAAGGGAAAAACAAACAGGAACCTAATCAAGCCCCTAAATGTAACTACCAGTTTCCAGGATATCTGTGGATAGAGAAATGTATCAAGCAACAAAGGGAGTCAATCAGCTAAAATAAAAATGTGGGAAATTATACAGGACAAATAATCCAATTCCTTAAATAAATAGCTATACTGAAAAAAAGAGGGGTGGACTATTAGAAATAAAAAAAGAATTATTAACCAAATGCAATATATAGGCTTTGTTTGAATCCTAATTCAAACCAACCAACCATAAAAAGATATTTCTGAGAAAAAATTTTAAAGGCTAAGTATCAGAAGACATCAATAAATTGTGGTTAATTTTATTGGGTTATGATACAGATATAATTATGAAAACCATTTATCTGTTAGAGGTATATACTGAAATATTTACAGATGAGATGTCTGTGATCTGATTTAAAATACTCCAGTATAAATAAAAACATTAACAGCAAACAGTAGGAGGGGAGTGATAAGAACAGTAGATAGTTAATTGTTGAAGATGGGTTGATATCTACCTGGGTTCATTATACTAATCTCTTCCTCAGTATATATACTCTTTGAAAACTTCCATAATAAAAAATTTTAGACAGATATATGAAGCAGGGAAAAAATAGAGGAAGGCTCCACATGAGACATGTTCCAAAGCAGTCACCAGGAGAAGGAGACTTAGGAAAGAACCAATGATAACAAATAACAAAAGCTTTCAATATAACATAAGCAAGAATGAGACAGTGGGTCACAATGATAAATACAAGGAAGGGTTCTGGCAAAAACAGCATGCTCAGAGCCTTGTGAACTTGGGTATCCTCAGAGATATTACTGAAAAATTGAGACAACTCAAATAGGAGGCAGGGTCATTTGAATGCTGTAATGATGGACTGTGGTCTAAAGGTTATAATGAAAAGTAAAAGATACTCTAATGCCAAAGCCAGGATATACAAGCTTTGGGAACAGCGTGTGCATATAAAATAAGCTCATGATGAAGTAATCTACCTCCACAACACAAGGCCAGTAAAAGGACAATCCGAAGATTCTAGAAGCCCGACTGGTTTTCATTCTGTTTTCTGGATCAGAACCAAACAAATAGAGTAAGGGGTGCTTAGACTCAACCTGAAAGCCCTCTTTGATTGAGATAATAGCTCTTACTCAACAAGCCAGTGGACACATTCCCATATGCTCAGTTGGTTCAGCCTGGTTATCTCCCAGACAAACAACCCTGGCAAAATGAAAATGATAAATTAGGGCATGTGTATCAAGGAAACTAAAGTTGAGAGCCCCAGACGTGAATGACCAATCTCTCAATTCAGGGGACCCTAACACTCAGGTTAGCTTAAAAGAAGATATTCTAGTCAAAGTCTCCAGGAAAGGGAAACAAGAATGTTTTTCAGATCCTCTGAAGTAGATTCCCAATCATTCCCCACCTTACTCGCCACAGAAACAAAGAGCAAGAGACAGATTTACCTCCTGCGGATTTACAGCAGTTAAGACAGAAACCTCATACGACTGCCTCCCTGACTGCATGGTCACCAGGTGATGTGTCACATCAGGCACTGAAGACAGAGGACGTGGGGATCCTTCAGCAAGCACCTCTGAAACAGCAGAAAAAGGTTTCAGTGCAAAATGAATCCAAAGATCACCCTACCTTCATTATCAAGTCTCTCATTAAAAACTCTCAAAACTGCTCCCCAAAAAACTGAATCCCACATTCCTGTGTTTCTTCCAAATTAATTCCTGCCTGATAATCATTATCAGTGAATTTGGAAAGTATTACAAAAGGGGGATGGGAAGAAAAGATAAAAAATCTTGATGTAACAGTTGACCATTTCTCAATATGCAAATTTTGAGTAATATGGCTTCAGCACCATTAACTGGATTAATCTGCATATGAATCAGGAAACCAGAGCCAACCTGCAAAGCAGTCACCAGTAATGGCAACAGCACAGTTAAGTGCTGGTCAAGCGCTTAAACCTGGCTCCAAGGTTCCTACTCATTGTCTCTTCCTCCTTTCAGATCATCTTCCTTAAGGCTGGCTAAGGAGCTCCATGCCATTTCTATGCCTCATGCTTCAGTTATCCACTAGTATCATTGATGGGACAGAAGAGGCTTATTGTGGAAGCACACTTGGGGCCTTGTACGCTCCATATGTAAGTTACACAAACATGGTCTTTATAACCAAAACTGACTGGGGCTTGAGTAAGGAAAACACAGGATCTGACTTATTAAATGTTTATCAGCAGAATCACCATGAAGATCTTCTGGAAACAGCTTACATATAAACCACTTAGCTCTCAAATAAATTAAAAGGGGCGTTCTAGTTTACATTGCTCTTCCAGGATACCACATAACTTAATGTTTGCTTAAAACACTACCTTCTACTCACTCAGTGTTGTTTCCCAAATATAAGTTTTGACTTCTCAACTAGATTTTAAGGCCCCTGTCTTCTACTTTTATCTTTCCCATGGTGCCAGGTACACAAGTAGGCACTGAATAAATGCATGCTGACCTCACCTGTTAAGTTTTTCAGAGAAGAGGGCCTGGCCTGTGTAACTTGGGTGAACTTTCTATACCAGAGAGGAGCAACTGTTTCCTACAGAGCCCTTTCTTTTCTCCAGAAGATATGGCTTTTGAAGGTATGGAGAAATTGCTTTAATTCTCCTCTGTAAAACCTGGTTATGTCCTGTTTAAATGTTTTAAAAGTTAAGTTCTTCCATAACTGCAATAGGAAAGATAGAAATAGTTGGGCTATGATGCTAGGATTATGGATAATTTTCTTCTTAAAACTTTTTATTCTTTTGTTACATTATCTTTTCAATGAACAAATTTTTTTTTTAAAGACTCACTTATCCATTTCAGAGACAACACAAATGGTATTCAATCATGCCATTTCTACTCACAAGAAATGAAATTAATTAAAACCTCCATTTCGGAGACAACCCCATTCCTTAGTCCCTAGTTGCAGCCAGTTTCCCCAAATAAAGGCGAGTTGAAAGTCTTACCATCATCAACTCCTAGGATAGAATTGGTATTTGGTAGGTTCAAGGATTCTCCACCAAGGCTGGGCTGAGAATTCATAGACACCAGGTTTTTACTGGTTACTGAAGCCTCTTCAAGCAAACTACTGCCCATTAGTGGCTCAGCTGCACAGAGAATAGGATGTGAGAGACATACAGCACTCAAGGCTGTGCCTGGTCCCCATTTTCCTTCAGGGGAAGCTGGCCTTTTCTTTCAGAACTAAAAGTTAACCTGTATCTTGGATGTCACCTCCTATTTCACTTACTTTTGAGAAGCAAAAATAAACCTAGAAGGGAAGAAATGAGCCTCATGGATAAATACCCTTACTTGTGATCAGCATCTGGATAATTAACATACAAAATAGGATAGGTGCATCCCTAAAAAGGAGTATTCAGAATAAAATGATTAAGGAAAGACATGGAAAGGAGTAACAATAAAATGTATTATCAAATTTAAGTTAGGGTAAAAAAAAAAAAAAAGAGAGTCATGACTGATAAAAAATGCTTAAACTACTGTAATTCAGAAATCTTCACCACAGTGACAGACAAGTGCTTGTCCATGCATCAGCACCAGTTACCACCAAATTCGCTAGAGGAACTTTTAAAACTATAGACTCTGGGGTTTTACTCCCAAGGAATCTCATTTATCAGGTTGTTTGGTGTTGCTGGATGGAAGGGGTGGACAGCAATATAAAATGTATGTTTTAAAAACCTGCAAACAATTTTTACTGTACAGCTGTATTTGGAAACCACTAGCCCACCAAATGAGATTGGTCTCTCTACCCAAAACAGAAGCAGAACATTTCCGTATTAGACAGGCCAGTTATTTGCCTCTTTGAACCCCCAAAATATAGCCCTCCCTCTATCTTCTCCTTACCAGCTGGTTCCTGCTCTTGACTCCCAGCTGCTCCCATCTGCAAGTGATGCTTTCTCATGTGCACATTCCTACTCCCACTCTGAGAGAAGGTCTTTCCACAGACTTGACACTGATGTGGCTTCTCTCCTGAAACACAGACCAAAAAGGCAGGGTGCATTTCTGACAGCAAAAGAATGAACTCAAGCCCTAGATGGAGAAGCCCAGAAGATGTCAAACTAAACACGAAGAGGCTGCTCCTTATCGCATTCCCCAGGCTCTCAACCATCAGTTCCCGGGGGAAGGCTGGAAGCCACCAGGCAGGCATGGCATACTCACCCAGCCTCCGAGGCTCTCCAGACCCACTGGACTGCTGCTTCCACAAAACAACCTCTCTGGTATAAGATCATGGGAGACATAGAACATTTCCTACTCCTTTTAGATACAGTCTTCCATGAACCTCAAGGACATGCACTATCCTCAAGGATTCCAACCCTAGATTCATAATATACCTTTATCTCATTTCCTGCCACAACTCTCAGTCTTCAACATTCACAATGGTTGTTCTTGTACACAGTGATCTGAACTATCCCCTATGTCCTCAAGTCTGAAACCCTCAATCTCCATTTTACTTACCCTGACAACCACACCTAGGGCAGTGTCAAAGACTCTTGGCCTACATCTAAGTAGTAGATAGTAAAAACTAAGTGAAATGACCAGAATTTCCAGAAGAGACAAAATCTATAGAGGCAGAAAGCTGGTCAATGACTGCTTGGATGTGGGGCGGGAGGAGGAACTGATAGCAAAGGGGCACAAATGAACTTTTGGTGTGACACAAGTGTTCTATAACTGGATTGTGAGGATAACTGTATAATCCTATATATTGTCTGAAAAATCACTGACGTGTTTATTTACAGCAGGTGAATTTTAAGGTATATGCATTATAGGTCCAAAAGTTGTTAAAAAGTAACTATAATGGGGACTTCCCCAGTGGTCCAGTGGCTAAGATTTCGTGCTCCCAATGCAGGGGGTCTGGTTCAGTCCCTGGTTGGGGAACTAGATTCCACATGCCACAATGAAGAGTTCACATACAACAACTAAAGATCTCACATACTGCAGTGAAGATCGAAGACTCTGCATGCTAAGATGCGGTGCAGTTAAATTAATTAATTTTTTAAAATAACTATAATGGACTGAAATATAGTGACCATATAGAAACACATGAATTCAAAATAATAGTAGCAAAAGAGAGAGAAAAGGCAGTGAAAATAACACTACTAGAAGTAATCAGAGCACCCACTTCTTATTCTGAAAACTCAGTTAAAAGAATTACATATTTATCCTACCTTTCATGTGCAAATTACCAAATAATCTTAGTCAATAGAGATCTACTATACAGAATAATTCCATGTAACAAATGTGAATAACAAAATTAGAAAAATTAACATTTTATAACCCCAATGAAGTAACGAATTTAGGCATCATTCAAAGATGAAATCATTAAGTCAAAAGGTTGCAAGGGAACATTACAATGAGGGGATTAAGGTGTTAACCACCTGAACCAACTGATCAATTGTGACAACCAAGCTCTGTGTGCCTCCTGAGGTGATGCAAAATGAAACACATACAACCACACATAACATATTCTTGCCAAAACCTTTGAATTTTTCAGGAAATATAGGGGAACAAGTTTAATGACACAAAATAAGGTAAACCAACACATCCAGAGCATGAGATGAGCTATAGGACCTGACTGACTCTGTTGTGCAATAAGTCTAGAACATGAAAATCAGAAAGTATAGATAGATCTACATTCAGGACTTACTAGCCAAGTGCAACAACTGGACCTTTTTTGGGTCCTGATTTAAACAAATCCACTTTAAAAGACGTTTTTGAGACAACTGGAAAAAAATTAAACATGGACTGAGTCTGAGATAAAACCAAGGAGTTACTGTTAATTTTGATAGATTATGGTAATGGCATTATTGTTACATAAAAAAGTATCTTTCTCTATTTTTATGTAAGTTTGACACAATTTTACATAACAAAATAAAGAACAATAAAATGAAAACACTCTACAAGCCAAACAAAACACATCTGGAAGTCCACACCTAACCCACTGACTATTAGTTTGCTACCTCTGCTTAGAATTTGTCAATATTAAACCCTGCTCTACCGTGGGATCTCAGCTCTGAAACTCACAGCCCTGACCGCTTATACTTCTCCAACTCCTTTGCTCCCACTGAACCACTTTGTTGTCTTCATGACAAATAACTTCTAGTTCCTTCTCTCCATTCCTCCCCTTCTGGCTTCCCTTTGCTTTCCACGGCTAGCCATTTGAACAAGTTCCTGATTCCATTCTAGAATCTCACTCTACTTTTGAGTTCACTTCTGCCTTGGCAAGTCTCTGAATAACTCCATGTACCATATCTGATGTAATGCAGAAGTACCCAGAGTACTGGCCAAGTAAATTTATTGATTTCCTCAGAGAAAGGTCTCGATCAGAAAGCAGTTCAATAGCTAAGCTGAAAATAATAATTAGATTCTTTTCCCCTTGATTATATGACCCTTTGAGTGTAAGCATCAAGGGCCTTGATTTCTGATTCTGTCAAGAAAGGGAAGAAAGCAAGGCATCTGTTTTTCTTTATACTACTACCCTAACCTTTTACCCTTTTGGCTCTCCATCTTCCCTGAAATCTATGAATGGTACCTGAGTGAACCACCAAATGTTTTCGAAGACTAGAATACTCAGCAAAGGAACGGCCACATCCTTGGGCTTCACAAAGGAAAGGCTTCTCTCCTAGAGACAGAAAATGAGATAAAGACTCAGTCTTTTGATGAAATGACTTGTATTCTCTTTTCCCACCAACCTTCTGCTGTTTTCAATCACTTACTCTGATCTACTGAATTCACACTATATATTATATAATATATAATTATACTATTATATATTATATAATATATATATTATATTATATTCACCCTATATATTTCAATTGGACTATCCAGCAGGTATCACCTCTCAGTGATCTTCTGGTACACAGCTCCACCCCGCCACCCCCATTTTCTTTAGAGTGGCTACCTCTGAACATAATACCTCCTTCTCCCTCCTCATGGGCTGAGCCCCAGCTGTGTTGAACCACCTTCTTATGTGATCCTATCCCTTCTGAGAAAATCAAGAAAACAGTGTATATGCTCTCAGAATTTTTACCTTACATCAATTCTTTAAGATTCAGTTTTATGATTAAGAATACATATTTTTGAAGCCTATAAAATAGGTATTACATAATACCATCTTATAAAAACAATTGTCTAGTCAGAGATATACAGAAAAATCTGTTGCAGTGTGTTAACAGTAGTTATATCATGATAGTGATATTATGGTTTATTTTCTTCTTTGTGCTTTTCTGTAATTCTCATTTTCTACAGTATTGTTATTTTAAAAATGAAAAATGCATGGTGAAAACTGAAGACTGACAGTACTATTGACTTTCTGGCCCTGATACTGTACTATGGCTACATGTCACTTTGGGCAGAAGCTGGGTGAAGCACAAATAGAATTCTTTGTACTTTTTTTGTGACTCTTCATGAATCTATAAATATTTCAAAATAAAAAATGAAAAATATCAGAGATGCAATCCATATTTCCCAAGGGTCACAACCTAGTGAGAAATAAAGGTCTTCATATATAACTTTAATATAAATTCCTTTATAAAAAACTGATTACGTGTACTTATAAAGGGAAGAAATTCCTATTGTGGTTAAATTTTTTTAAAAAGCTGAATTTAAGTTGCTCTTAAAAAGTGACAAGGATGAAAGGAAATTTCAGGCACAAGAACTAGCATGAACACAGCCTTGAAACTGAGAGTGCCCAGAGCAAGTTCAGAAAATGACAAGTGTGAAGTAAGTATATATATATTGGTCTTTGCCCCTGGCTCCTGACACAAAGCTCTTAAAATGCTTGTACACAGGGGTGCTAGGAGAATTTTTGGTTCTAACATTTAGTCTGGGATCCCAGCTCCTAATGCAGAGCTCCTAAACTCCTTGTAATTTTTTAAGTGATAATAGCACTAGGATAATCTGCTGTTCTAGTATTTGGTCTTTGATCATGATTTCTGACACAGAATTCCTAACCCCATGGAATTTCCTAGGTGATAGGAAAGTATTTTGTTCTAATGAGATGAATCTTGGTGGGCTCCTGGATGGGGGCTAGTCACCAGATTAGAAGCTTGGGAATTTCAGCTCCACCCCATTTTTCAGAGAGGAGAGACAGCCTGGAAATGGGTTAATGATGAATCATGCCTATGTGATGAAACCTCCATAAAAATCCCAAAAGTACAGGGTTCAGAGAGCCTCTGGGCTCGTGAACAGGTCTATGTGCCAAGGAAGTGGCACACCCCAACTCCACAGGACAGAAGCGCCTGTGCTTGGAACTCTTCTGGACTTCACCCTTATGCTTCTCTTTATCTGGCTACCCATCTGTATCCTTTATCATACCCTTTATTACTTAATAAGCTGGTAACACGTTTCCCTGATTTCTGTGAGCTGTTTTAGCAAATAATCAAATTCAAAGTGGGGGAGGGGGTTGTCATGGGAACCTCCAACTGGTAGCCAAGTCAGACTGAGGTTGAAACTGACATCTGAAGTAAGTGGCAGTCTTGTGAGGCTGAGGATGTGGGATCTGACGCTATCTTCAGACAGTGTCAGATTTCAGTTGTTCAGTTGTAGACACTCAGATGGTGTTGCAGAGAACTGCTTGGTTTAGGAAAACACATCTTGTTTCAGAACTGTTATGAGTGTGAGAGAGTAAAGGAGAAACACGGAAATGCTGCAAGTAAGGCTGGCATGGTGTCAAGATAGGAGCTGGGCCTTGACGGAGGGAGGAGCACAGCTCTAGACTGCACTGTTCTTTCAGACTGTACCACACAGTTTAAGGCTTACGATTTCCCATTAGTCTGTAACTTTCTGGAAAGCATATCTGTATATTCACCCTAACCTCAGAATGCTATGCACTCCAAAAGTTGCCAAATGAATAAAAAATATACTGATATATATGATAGAATGCCAGGAAAAAAGAAAATTCCAGTTAATAAATAAGGTTAAATGTTTAATAAGATGAACTCAAGAACCTTAGAAAAAGGATTTAAAAAACAATTAACCAGAATCTAGTGGCACAAATCTCTTCGTCAAGCTGGCTTAGGTGAGATGGCCTTCCTGTTCAGAAACTGAGAGGACGGTAATTTTGCTGAGATAAAGAAGACTGGAGGTTCAAGAGACATTGCTGCAGAATGGTTAAAGAGCATGAGCCAGTTAATCCTGAGCCCCAGTCTTGCCACAACCACTTATCAGTATGGGGAAAATAGTTAAAATCTCTGAGAATGATTTTTTTTAATCTATAAAATTAACATAATACAACCTCAAAATATTACTTTGAGGATTTGATGAAATGATACGTTAAATACATTAAGCATAGTGCCTGGTACACAGCAGTCTTCATGGTAAACCACTAAAACTGGCAGCTTTAATCACTACCATTACTACTAAAAAGGAGTTGAGGTCAATTCTGACATCTGAAATAAAATGAGTTGTCAGCACTTAAAAATAAAATACTCGGAAGAACTCTGGGGTCATACCAGAATTCAAATCCCAGCTCTACCATTTCTCAGCAGCATAATGTTCAAGTTCCTTAACTCTCTATCCCTCTGTTTCTCCATCAATAAACACAGTATCTAAAGCATGAAGGAACTCTGAAAATTAAATAAGACAATGTATATGTGCTTGGTACATATTAAATTGCCTCAATAAATGCTAATTTTTATTACTATGCTAATTATTGAGATTCAGATCTGTGAGGCATCCAAGAAGAAATGATTAAATTGAAGCCTGAGATTGCAAAGAGAGCATATCGAGTAAAATGGGAGAAACTCAAACTTCTGAAATTGGTCCACAACTGGATTAACAACGGAGAGCTAGCAAGAGTCAGAATGAAGAGAGAAAATCAGGTCACACTCTGAATAAATCATGTTCAGTTTTATCAAATGCTACAAAGATGAGAGGCACAAGGATAAAGCGGTTACTGAATTTAATAAGGCATCATGAATTCTACTTTCCTTAGCTATTCAGATAATGTTTTTCTTGTTCTTTTATTCAAACGGCTTTCTTGGAGCAAGAATAGTTTATCCTTTCAAGAACGAGCTGAGAACAGAGCTATTCTTTCCTAAAACATATCCCAGTGTTAATGTCAATCTAGAGGAAATCCCCAGAACACATGTGGCTTCACCTTGGCTTTCACTTTCTAAATGCCACTTATTTGTACCTGCTGTCATTTTAGCAAGGCTGGAATAAACAAGGAAGAGAAAGAGAAGATAGCAAGTAAGTGGGAAGAATAGCTACACATCCTACAGTAGTAGTTTAGGTTCAATGATTAAGCTCTGGCAAGAGAGTTAGCACAGCTTGGTCAAGGGGTTTGGAAAGTCACCCTTAAACTTTTAGATTAAGAAGTCAGGGTATCTTTATTTTGCTCCTTTGATATTAACATGCCATCTGCCCCCAAAACAAGGCCCTTCTCCATTCTGTTTCTCAGGCTGTGAGGCTCTAACAAAAAAGTTAACTCAAAGTCAGGGATTAATCTTAGCTTTTGTATTTCCCCTCACCTTACCCTAGTTAGTGCCTAAAATAGGATCTGTGTGGTTTGTGTAACTCAATAAATGTTAATGACCAAAATTAAAACTGTGTAATGTTCAAGGATATCTGGAAAGACTCACTTTTGTCCATATCTCATCAAATCATTGTTATTAAAGAAGGCCTTACATCTCCTTTCTGTTTAAGGCTACCAGAGGCAGAAATCAAACTGTTCATTCTCACAAAGAGGTGATGATAAATGCTATTGAAATAACTGAAAAGTGCCCTAAGGCATCTGAAAAAAAGAAATTTCATCTTCAGAATTCTAGCAACAATCCCAATCTTCATCTACTAAGGACAGCCAGCAAGCGCTGAGCCAAGCAGCAGATGGCCTGCAGGAGTGCTGAGGTTGCACGCACCTGTATGGATGCGCAGGTGGTTCTTCAGGTTTCCAGCTGTTGTGAACTGCTTACCACAGTTGGACTCAGGGCACACAAAGGGCTTCTCCCCATTGTGGGTCCTCATGTGCACCTTCAGCCTCTGTAGAACATAGAAGCTTTTCCCACAACCTGCTGCAGGGCAGATAAAGGAGCGGTCGTTTCTGGAGGAAAAAAAATCACATAAGCAACAAAGCCTGAAAATGCTCTTTGCTGGAGAGAACAAGTCAAAGCTCCTATTGACTCTTAAAACAGATAGTAAATCCCAAATCTGGATGTATGAGAATCACTTTAAGTTTGTTAAAACTACAGATGCTGCTCGGGCCTGGTGCACTGGGAAGACCCAGAGGAATCGGGTGGAGAGGGAAGGGGGAGGGGGGAGGGGGGATCGGGATGGGGAATACATGTAAATCCATGGCTGATTCATGTCAATGTATGACAGAAACCACTAGAATATTGTAAAGTAATTAGCCTCCAACTAATAAAAATAAATGAAAAAAAAAAAACAAAAAACCGAAAAAACTACAGATGCCCTACTTCTTGAAAACACTGATTTCATAGGTTCAGAGTAGAGTTTAAGCTTATGTATTATTAAGTTCTCCAAGAAATTATGTTTTATGATGAGATTTTGAGCACTCTTGCTCTAAGACATTTAGGTGACAAATGTCTTATTAAATATTTGTCAAGAACAAGGTAAATTAGACAATGCAAATGTCTCTATTAAAGAACTAAAGACAGCTTAACCACAAGTGAGCTGGAGCTCCTGTTTTCCTTTAATCTGTCAAGTGGGGGGATTTCTGTCAAGTTCCTTCAGAAGCATCAACATTCCTGAGTTCTAAATATGGAATTTCAAGTTGGCTCACCGATGAGTTTTGAGGTGGTACTTAAAATGAGCGGGCCACACAAATGTCCGGTCACAGCCTTCAACTGTACACTTGAGCTTCTTCTCCATTTGAGGAAGGGGCCCAGAATCTTTGGGTTGCCCATCACCAGAACCAAGGTGGACATTTTCTCCTGTAACAGAATCACATATTTGTAATCCAGGGAAGGATTCTGCTCAGATACTTTGGTTCAAACAATAAAACCACTGCTAGTGATCATTAATCACATGTCTACCTTCACCTTCCCCAGCGATCTTCGTATATTCACTTAACAACAGAAAGTGATTGTGCTCTGCATCCCCATCACCTTACTTACTCCACAGAACTACCAAATGCCACGAGACTAGGCCTCTGACAAATTTAAGAAATATCCAAAATGGTTTAATAATAATAAAAAAAAAATCTGCATTCAACCTACTTTGCATTACACATTGGTGAGGAAGCAGGTATGGCAACACCAGAAGTGGAGTCCTAGAGATCACCTGATGCTCTAGGCAATCAAAACTTGTATTTTAAGAAGGAGCAGTCAGTCTGGCTTAATCATGGACTTACAGTAGTAATTTCTTTTGTAGACGACCAGCCTAAGATTTCTATCTTCTGAAGTCACTGTGGCTGTTTCTGTCACTCTAGAGAATAAGAATCACCTTCTCATTACCTGTACCACCCCTCCTCAGTTATGAAATATTTAAGAATGCAAAAACTCAGCACATTTTAAAATTTCTAATCACATTTTTAAAAGTGAGAGATAGTATCTGCTCAAGTTTTTTGTTAAGTAGAATAAAAGGAGGCAAGAAGAGGAACATACACTGCAGTGACTTACTTAAATTTAAATGAAATTAGTTTAACTAAAACTTTAAATAAATTCCAGATTAGCAGGTGGCACATCCTTTCTTTCATTTTCTTCAATACATAGTTGAACATCAATAGAGAAAAACATTCATAACCACTTGTTATTGTTCAGTTACTAGGTTGTGTCCAACTCTTTGTGACCCCATAACTACAGCATGCCAGGCTTCCCTGTCCTTCACTATCTCCTTGAGTTTACTCAAACTCATGTCCACTGAGTCAGTGATGCCATCCAACCATCTCATCCTCTGTCACCCCCTTCTCTTGCCCTCAACCTTTCCCAGCATCAGGGTCTTTTTCATTGAGTCAGCTCTTTGCCTCAGGTGGCCAAAGTACTGGAGCTTCAGCACCAGTCCTTCCAATGAATATTCAGGGTTGATTTCCTATAGGATTGACTGGTTTGATTTCTTTACTGTCCACGGGACTCTAAAGAGTATTCTCCAGCATCACAGTTCTAAAGCATCAGTTCTTCAGCGCTCAGTCTTTTTTATCATCCAACTCTCACGTTCATGCATGACTGCTGGAAAAACCACAGCCTCAACTCTATGGACCTCCATTGGGAAAGTGATGTCTCTGCTTTTTAATACAGTCTAGATTTGTCACAACTTTTCTTTCAAGGAGCAAGCATCTTTTAATTTTGGACATCATTAGAGAAATAGATTCACAACCACTTAATTCTATTATAAAAATACGGAGTTTATCTTTCCATTACAAATACCTTAGGAATAAGATTCATATTTCCAAATTTCTCCTGTCAAAGCCCAAGACGAGGATAACATGTTATACCTACCATACTCAGGAAACTGACAGTTGATCAAAGGCAGTATCTGTCCCATCTATTAATCTTATTTTCTTCCTGCCTTACATTCTCCTTGCTGTACTTCACCAAATGCTAACTGCTCCCAGGTTGGAGCAGAACCTAAGATGACTTTTGCTAGTTAATATGAATTAACTTGTTCCTTTTTAATACTGTTAACAGTTTGTTTGTTTAATCAAAACATGGGTAAATTTTAGACAGCACACAAGTGCATATACCATAAAGAAAATTTCCCAGTAACTCCAGAACTCCAGCTAATTAATTTCTAACAAAAGGTCTGTAAAAACCCATGCTAATCCAGAGATTTAAACCAGTGACAGTTAGGGCTTCGTGCATTCAATTTTGCATCAGTATAACCATAAAATATGGGGAAAAAATCCTTCAGAAAGGAGTGAGTTGCCTTGTATTTAAGTTCAAAAGTTTCCGAAAGAAGTGCTCTCTAAACCACTGTTTTTGAAAACAAAGCACTGTTTGCAGAACTGTCTTATGGTTTTGCACACTACCCTCCAAAAAGAGCAAGAGCGACAAAGAAATTCAATATACCTTACATTGTATATGTTGAAGAACACTATAAACTCTTCCAAGACTCTACAGTTATGGGGGTAAGGTCTTTGCATTTGGGATAAAATTTTCAGTGATAGTAGTATTATATAGAGCAGGAATCAGTAAACTTTTTCTGTGAAGGGCCACACAGAAGATATTATGGGCTTTGAGGCCATACGATCTCTGTCACAACTACTCAACTTTGCCATAGTAGCAGCCATAGACAGTCTGTAACTAATGGGCATACCTGTGTTCCAATAAAACTTTATTTATAAAACTTTATAAAACAGGTGGTTATTTGGTCCTTTGCGGACTCCTGATATACAGCACCACATACAAAACTAAAATATTTCTCTATTTCAACTTAGATGAAAGTGATCGTATGTTTGTGGTAATGACAGTATGTACCTAACCTCAATCTTTTGCCATATTACCTTAACTGTCACAGGTTAATGAGAAAATACAGTGGCAGATTTAATGCAAAAAATATTATGGTCAAGGTTTTGCAGTGGTTTAGGAGGGGCTTGAATAGAGCCATGGTCTTCAAGCTTTAACATGCATCGTAACTATAATGAGGGCTTACTAAAAACTAAAAATGTTTCTGACTCAGTAAGATGAGACCTGATAATGTGCATTTCTAAATTACTGGTGATGCAGATGACCTAGCAACCACACTTTGAAAATTACTAGAGAAAAAGAGGCCCAGAGTAAATAGTACAGGCATGCTGAACTCAAGAAAAACCACACTATACCCTATTTGGATATTCAGAGGTCTTCTGAAGAACTGGTTCTACCCTTCTTGCTCTGCCTGCCCCTCAAAAGCAGAACTATGGTAGCTGATAATTGCTAAACCGCCATGAGCAGCAATCTAGTTTCAGTGAAACATTGCCATCTGCCACAGTGATTTAATATTAATTTCATTTGTATCTGTTTTGTGGTTTTATTTCTATTGATAAAACCATTTGATTTCATAATGATGTAAAATCTCTAAGTATAAAGAACAGTACAAAATCAACAGAAGATAACACCAAGATCTGTGAAAAAAATTTTTTAAAAAGGGTTCGGTATATTATTTAAAGGTGACAACTGTTAGCTGATTCTGCACATGAATCTGGCATGGCTGAGTTATTTTATAGAAAATAAGATATGCAATTTACACATTTCTAGCCTTCTGCTCTCACGAACAATCTGGATTATATGCAACTCAAATGATAGCCAGTGTCTTACCAAAATCTCTGCATGGAATACAGCAAAGGAAAATAACACAGGGATCTCACCACTGCTGCTGGTTTTTGCATTCTTTGCCAACTGAGCCCGAGTAGCAGCAATCAAACTGTCATGGGCCAACTCCTGAACCCGGAGGAACCAGGGAATGCTACTGTCTGTGCTCTCACTGGAGAGGAAATCATTCCCTGAATCCTCTGCCTCATCTTGTACAAATACCAAGTGTTCGGCTGAAGAGCCCAGACCTGGAAGAAACAAGAGGATATATGCAAGTTATCCACCAAGTAATCCCTGTGACTGACCGTGGCTCAGAATCTCTCCATGTCCTGAATCAGCTATTCCAGACTTTCACGTCTCACCTCAAGCTTCTGTTCTCATGCAAGATTAGGTCATCATCTCTCTACTCCCAGCTGAGAGACTAGTCTTTATCTTACCTCCTCCTGTTTCAGAGGCAAAGTGTGTTTCCTAGCAACCCGGCTAACCCTTACCTCTAGGATCCAATCCTATCTTTTAGTTATCTCCTCTCCACCTTCAACCCATTCCTCCTTAGTGGCTAACTTACAGCTTCTCTTTCAGCCTTTCAATCTGTCTAAGCTCAAGCCTCTCCCACATTTTTCTTTTTTATAGAAAATCTCAAGTATGACTCTAAATATCACCTGCTCGACCAATGGATGAGGAAGATGTGGTACATATACACCATGGAATATTACTCAGCCATTAAAAAGAATTCATCTGAATCAGTTCTAATGAGATGGATGAAACTGGAGCCCATTATACAGAGCGAAGTAAGCCAGAAAGATAAAGACCATTACAGCATACTAACACATATATATGGAATTTAGAAAGATGGTAACGATAACCCTATATGCAAAACAGAAAAAGAGACTCCGATGTATAGAACAGACTTGTGGACTCTGGGAGAAGGCGAGGGTGGGATGTTTCAAGAGAACAGCATCGAAACACGTATATTATCTAGGGTGAAACAGATCACCAGCCCAGGTTGGGTGCATGAGACAAGTGCTCGGGCCTGGTGCACTGGGAAGACCCAGAGGGATCGGGTGGAGAGGGAGGTGGGAGGGGGGACCTGGATGGGGAATACATGTAAATCCATGGCTAATTCATTTCAATGTATGACAAAAACCACTGCAATGATGTAAAGTAATTAGCCTCCAACTAATAAAAATAAATGAAAAAAAAAAAAAAAAAAGAACTGGACATGGAACAACAGAAAAAAAAAATATAAATAAATAAATATCACCTGCTCACCTATTGCTTCAAAGTCATGTTTCTTGAAGTTTCTTAACTTCTAACTTGTGCATCTACTTTCTCACCTGCTGTCCACTCCCCACCTCTTTTAATTGGCTCCATCTCCCCTGCCTCACTAACAACTGCTCTTGCTAAGTTTACCAGACATACACTTCCCAGTCCTCATCTCACTGGCCCAATTTGTAGTATTTGGTATGATTCACAGAAGAAAAGATACTAAATGTGGCTTTCCCCACATCATTCTCATTCAGTTTTCTTGATCCCTCTCTACTGGCTCCTTCCCATTCTATTATCACCCCCTTAAAATTTTTTTCAGGGTCCCAGATATGCCCTCGTTTCTGTTTATGCTCCAGACTACTCCTGAATCAAAGAATTCATACTCATTGTTTCAAATGCTGGTAAGCACTAAAAACTATTTATTTCACACCATACCTGTCTAGAACTCTGGATTCCTATTTCTAACTCTCCAAAGTGTTCCTGTGAAATCTCAACATCAACAGGCACAAATCGTTCACCCCCGTCCTGTTCTTCCTGTGTGCACCATCTAGCTGAACACACCACTTAACTCCCCCAAACAAGAAAATGTTGTCATCTGAGAGTCTGCCTTTTTCCTCTATGTGTTCAATTGATCACCAAACTACACCAATTCTCCAAAATAATAAAATAATAGCTTCTCTCCATTTCTAGTATGACTAAGTTAATTATTCCTCCTCACCCTCCTGCCCCGCCTCCAAGGCTTTTTCTTAAGAATGAGTAGAGATCAGAAAAAAATAAAGAATACCTGCTCTTGTTAGGTTAAGAAGAATAAAAGAAGTGCTATCACTTGGCTGTAGATCTTGCAACAAGCTAGGGGACTCTGGAGTGGACAAAAACTCTGGAGACTTCTGTACAGTCTGAGCCCTCGTCTCTTCTCCGTCTGGACCCACATTCACCTGAAGGCTTCTCAACACAGCCGAGGAAGGAACCTCCTTGGAGGAGTTCGTATGATTTGGAGTATCATCTAGTAAAGGGAAAACACCACAGCTTTATGTAGTAGTTATCTCCAAGGAGTTCACCATTTTGATACACAGTACCTAACACCCTTGTGTTACTTAGTAACTAGTTACTTAGTTACAAGTAACTAGTCACTTAGAAACTAACACCCTAATAGGAGCAAATAGCATTTTCATTTTATGAATATAAAATCTGCCTCAGAAAAGAACAGTGTGAAAGGCAGCTAAAGCTCTAAAGGACATCAATCAAAATGTAAGGGGCAGACTCCTCTGGCGGTTGGCAGTAACTAATAACAAACCATTCACATTTGGACATTATAGACCTTTGTCCTTTTGAGGCTAAGTAAATATTAACTCAAGAATAGGATTTAAATTTTCAACTGTTTTACTTGGGAAAAGATGCCGCTCTAATTTTTATAACATGTATTTGAGAGGTCTGGTCAGTCATTAAGGGAAAAATCACAGCCTGCAACACAATTGAAACTGTACAGAATCATCAACATGTTTCATTAGGGTTCTGGGTTTATACCAGATGTAAAGAAATAATTCAGAAGACTTGCTTCTAGAGCTTTATTCTAGGGGAGGGGATGAATTTCCAAAGATTCTAATTGCAACATAATGAGGAATTACACTTCTGTGCTAAAGCATCCAATGTTTCCAGAGGTTTCATTCACCTTCATAGAATGCAGGTTACATTTTTCTCTTTTTTGAAGGAGATAACCAATAAGATTATAGGAATAAAGTAGAAGCCTAGACACAGCACTGCGGTTCTAAAGCCTAATGAAATTGCACAGCAAAGTAAATGAACTTAATCCCACCGAATTGGTTAAATGGTAAGTTTTATTCTATATATATTTTAACCACACACACAAAACAAAGCCTGTTCTTAAATACAGTTCATAGCAGCACTGTTTGTCATAATATGATGCTGGAAAATAACTACATATTCATCAATAGTGGCATGGATCAAGAAGTTGTGGTACACTCATAGAACAGTATACAGCAATGAAACCAAACAAACCGCAGCTATGCGGTAACAGGTTGACAAGGATGAATCTCACAAATATAGAGTAAAAGAAGAAGGGTACAACAAGATACATTCATATGATTCCACTCATTTAAAGTCCACTTGACTATTAGCAAGGAAAGCATTATTTTTGGATGCAATGAATTCTTTATTTTCTGGAATGAGACTTGGGGGATTAAACTTAAGTGAAGTGAAAGTCGCTCAGTCGTGTCTGACTCTTTGAGACCTGACGTACTATACAGTCCATGGGATTCTCTAGGCCAGAATACTGGAGTGGGTAGCCTTTCCCTTCTCCAGGACTTAGAAAACAAAGAATTAATTGTTAAAAAATTGAGCACAGTGGTGACATATGGAAGAACAGTTTTTCTTTATCAAGGAGAAACCCATGGAAGGCCTGGAAGCTGGCAATGTTCTCCTTCTTGACTGGGTGGTGGGTATCTCCTTCCTTAATAACTCTTCAAAATGTGTATCCATATAGTTTTGTGCTTTTCTGTGTCTAGCACATATCCCAACTAAAAATAAGTAGGTTATATATCCACACGTATTTAGGAGGGAGGGGAATGAGGTTAGCGAGGTATGTACAGATATGTTTGTGTTTCTAATAGCATGTTTCATGAGCTGGGAGGTGAGTACTTGGGTTTTCCTTTACTATTATCTATATCTGGTTGTCTAAAATATTTTAAATCAAAGTTAAAACTAAAAGAAGGTAATGTAGTAAAGAATATGGATGCTCTTGTTTCTATTTTCACTTCATTATGGTTAAAAAATATTTATCCAATAAATTGAAATTAGGAGAGAAAATTTAGGGGAAAAAGCCTAATGAAGATCAACACTTATTAGCACAAGGAAATTTTCACATATTGAAAATCCACAAGGATTTGGAAAGACTACCAACATACCAGTAGAAAAATGGGAGCTGAGAGACAGAGATTGTGGGAAAGATAGGAGCTAGATAGAGACACCTTAAATCAACACTGGTTGAATATATCTGCCCTTAAGTCATTTCAAAAATCAGAGAGAAAAAAAAAAATCAAAGAGAAAAGAACACCACTAGAGGATAGTAACCAAAAGATTTTATAACAAATAGGTTGTCACAACATATGACCCTCCCCTGATTTAACATTAATATTCCAAATTTTAAATATTTCAATTTCCAGAAAATAAAGAATTCATTGCATCCAAAAATAATACTTTCCTTGCTGGTAGTCAAGCGATGGGATCTCCTTCTTCTCATACAAAGCTAATCTCACTACCCAGGCTCAGAATTCTACTACTTCTTCCTACCTCTCCTGAAGCCTCCTTACCAATTACCCACTCTTTCTGTTCACAGCTTCTCTAATGGACTCTTTCCCCTTAACACAAAACCACCCTCTAATATTTCAAATCTTAAAAAAAATTAACTCTTTAGTCTACTCTACGTCCTTCTCTTCTTCCTTCCCATAGCAAGACAACCTTTAGAAAGTATATTTCCTCAACTAAACTCATCCTTGCAGTGATATCTCAACCTGCTACAGCCTGGCTTTCCATTCCCTCTCCAAGGAACATGTCCTGCCTAGGGCAATAATGACTTCACCGATCCTACGGCCCTGGTGGTGGTTTAGTCACTAATCCTGTCCGACGCTTGTGACTCCATGGACTGTAGCCCGCCAGGCTCCTCTGTCCATGGAATTCTCCAGGCAAGAATACTGGAGTGAGTTGCCATTTCCTTCTACAGGGGATCTTCCTGACCCACGAATTGAACCCGGATCTTCTGCACTACAGGCAGATTCTTTACTGACTGAGCTACGAGGGAAGCCTATCTCATTAGGATGGTCCCTCTATCACTAGCCTCTTAGAAGCATTTGTCAATTTGACCATTCCCTTGGGTTCCATGCCTGTACTTCATACCAGTATTCCTCCTATTGCTCTAGCCTCTCTTTATTCCCTTCTTCACAGGCTCTCCTGCCTCACCCTCACCCTGTGCCTTGAATAGGTACCTTGAGTTCCATGCAGTTCTGCCTTGGCCTCCTTTTCTTCTCACTCTCAGTCTATGAGTGTTCATATCTGTTCTTATGACTTAAACTACCAGTGCAGGGAATTGACAGTCCAGTGGTTAGGACACCACACTCTCAATGCTGAGGAACCAGGTTCAATTCCTGTTTGGGGAACTAAGATACCACAGGCTGCACTGCATAGCCAAAAAATTAAACAAAAAAGCTATCAATGCACTATGACTCCCATGGTTGCTTTTCACCATGACTCCTTTAATTTTTAGAGTTTCTACCAGTCAGTTATAAAGTCAGTTATCCCATTCTACTAGTACCACAGAGGAGGCTAAGTTCTTAAGTCTTGTTTATCTTATCTTTGATGATACTAATTTTTACCTGGTAACATTAGCCGACTGCATTCTGAGGCTTCAGTCACTGGAAGTAGGGACAAGCAAGTTATGTCTTTAGCTTCTGATTCTACTAACCCCTGTCCCAGCGGGATGGACGTATTCTGAACAAACTGTACCAGGAGCTGGAGGGGAAGGAGTGGATGTGGAGACAACAAATAATACAGGTTGTCAGAAATATATCTAAACTTCTGAATTTACCAAAAGGAGATATGTATTGATAATTAAGTCTTGATTGCTCACTACTATCTGCCTTATTCATAGAAAAATCAGATTAACTACAAAATATTATAAGTTATTTTTATTAAGTGTTCTATTCTAGACAAAAATTGAATGATATGGAAAGTAATAACCTTCCACAAAACAGAGAAATGATAAAAATAATTATAGTTATAAATAGTTATCATTATAAATTATAGTTATAGTTATAAATTATAGCTATTACAAATTCAACAGCAACAATGTGTATGATTATAATATACCTTATAAAGCACTTTTCTGTGTATTGGCTCTTTTAACCCTCACTGAACTCAGTAAAATTGCACATGATTTTAAAGGTAAGAAATCAAGATGAAGACACTAAATCACTAGTCCAAGGTCACATCACTAGTTAGGAGCAGTGTCAGTCTTCATACTTAGGTAACATGATTCCAAATTTAGCTATCTTTCCACTAAACAACACAAATGTTCTAAAATTAGAATGAGAAAAGTGAATAAAAATTACGTTTAAATCCCTTAATCACATTTAAAAAGAAAACTTACTAATATATACAATTACATAATCAATATAATTATATTAATATATACAAAATTAATTAACATGGTTTGTGGTAGTAAAGATTTACGTATGTATACATATATATGCCACATAAAAAATAAATTTTGTCATTATATTATCTAAATGTATAATAATTTATACTTATTTAAATAACAAATATGAAAGTGAAAGTCTCCCAGCCATGTCCAACTCTTTGCGACCCCATGGACTATACAGTCTATGGAATCCTCCACACCAGAATACTGGAGTGGGTAGCCTTTCCCTTCCCCAGGGGATCTTCCCAACCCAGGGATCAAAGCCAGGTCTCCCGCATTGCAGGCGGATTCTTTACCAGCTGAGCCACAAGGGAAGCCCCAAAACTAACAAATATAAAGTCATAAAAGGTAAGAACTGAAGTTTTAAATTTTTTGAGAAAGTAATTAGTAATAGAAAAATAACAAACTAGTATTTACAATCAAAACACAACCTACAAAACTTAAAATATTTACTACCTGGCCCATTACAGAAAAAGTTTGCTGACTCTTGAACCAAGAACAAACTAACACAGCCCACCAAAAGAAAAAGAAACCAGTTGTTTGGGCTCACCTCTGGTTTGGATTCTAACTCATCTGATAACATTGATTCAGCTTCCAAATTCTGTAGCTGTTGAGGGGACAGGTTAAAATTTTAATACAGAGTCAGTGACACCTTCCTGTTGTGCTCATATTCCTCTAGGAAGGGCTATTATTTTCCTGTAAGATGCTGTGCTGGGTGGGTAATCAATGTCACCTAAAAAAGGAAAAAAGAGAGAGATTTCAGAGCAGCAGGAAAATGTAGCTAAAAAAACAAAACTTCTTTATATACCCCCAAATCACAAAAGTAAGTAAAGAATTCAGCCCCAAACACTTGTTTTAAAATAGAACAAGCCCAACATGTATCAAAACCCATAAAAAGTCATACTTTGATGTAGAATTTCTACTAAGAATCTATTCTAAGAACAGAGAGAACAGACTTGTGGTCGCCACAGGGGAAGTAGGTAGGGGAGAAATGGATTGGGATTAGCAGATGCAAATGATTATACATAGAATGGATAACAACAAGGTCCTACTGTATAACACAGAACTATATTCAATATCCTGTAATAAACCCCAATGGGAAAGAATATGAACACGTGTGTATATGTACATATATACACACGAGTCATCATGCTGTACAGCAGAAACACAACACTGTCAACCAACTATACTTCAATAAAGTAAATTTTTAAATAAATAAAAAATAAGCAGAGGTTTTAAGTATGGAAAAAGCTATATGCCCAAAGAATTTCACCTTATCATCTATGATAATAAATAACTGTGATAATAAATAACTATATGCAACATATAAATACACATATATATTCATTTAAGTAATGGCTGATTATGGTATGACATTGTCACTTAAAAATAGTTATGAAAGTGCTCGCTTTGGCAGCACATATACTAAAATTGGAACAATACAGAGATTAGCATGGCCCCTGGCCAAGGATGACACGCAAATTCGTGAAGCGTTCCATATTTTTGTGATACTATATATATACATATATATTAATAAATATATTAATGTAAAAAAGCAACAACAAAAAATGTTAATGATAATAAATTACAAAAACAAAATACAAAATGATACATTCACTGTCATTAAAACCACTTATGACATGCACAGGAAAAAGTAAAAGGAAATTCACACAGCCATGCTAGTCACTGTACTGGGTGGGTGGTGGTAGGCTGGTGTAACATTTTTCTTAATTTCTCAATTTTGTATAAAAGATGGTTATACGGTCAAAATTTGAACAGTGTTTCCCAAAAACACAGAACTCTTGGGACCCCTATGAAGCTGTTTCCCCCACTTAATTTAAATTCTTACTTTCTTCATGACTATCTTCAGTGTTGTGTTTGGATTTCTTTGTCATTTTTTGTGTGTATTTATTATAGGTTTTTGGTGTGAGATTACCACGAGGTTTGTTCTTGTTTTGTTTTCGTTTCATTTTGCATTTTGGCTGTGCTGGGTCTTTGCTGCAGTGAGCAAGCTCTTCACTGCAGTGCACAGTCTTCTCTAGTTGTAGCATGTGGCTTAGCTCTGTCATGGCTTGTGGGATCTTAGTTCTTGGACCAGTGATCAAACCTGCATCCTCTGCTTTGGAAGGCAGATTCTCAACCATCTGACCACCAAGAAAGTCCCTACCATAAGGTTTTAGTATAGTAGTCTCTCTCTCTCTCTCTCTCTCTATATATATATACACACACACACACACACGATTGCTTTAATTTGCTGATATCTTAATTTCAAATGCATTTTAGATACCTGCATTTTTACTCTCCTCCTCTCACAATTACTGGTTTGTTGTTTTTTTTTTTTTCATTTGTTTTTATTAGTTGGAGGCTAATTACTTTACAATATTGTAGTGGTTTTTGCCATACATTGACATGAACCAGCCATGGATTTACATGTGTTCCCCATCCCGATCCCCCCTCCCACCTCCCTCCCCATCCCATCCCTCTGGGTCTTCCCAGTGCACCAGCCCTGGGCACTTGTCTCATGCATCCAACCTGGGCTGGTGATCTGTTCCACCCCCTTGATAGTATACTTGTTTCAATGCTATTCTCTCAGAACATCCCACCCTTGTTTACTGGTTCTGATATCATATTTCACATCTAATTGTTTTGTGTGTCCCTTAACTGTTTATTGTGGATACAGATGATTCCATTACTTTTTTAACCTCCCTACTAGTTTATGTGTGGATAATTTCCTACCATGACTGGATGTTTGCCTTTACCAGTGAGCTTTTTTCTAGTTGTGGCCCTTTCTTTTCCACCTAGAGAAGTTTCTTTAGCATTTGGTGTAAACTGGTTTGGTGGTGATGAATCACTTTAGCTTGCCTATTAAGTTTGACTTCTCCATCAAATCTGAACAAGAACCTTGCTGGGTAGAGGAAAGATTCTTGTTTGCAGTTTCTTCTTTTAATCACTTAATGTGTATCACGCCACTCCCTTCTGGCCAGCAGAGTTTCTACTGAAAAATCAGCTGATAACATTGTGGGAGTTCCCTTGTATGTTATTTGTTGCTTAGCCCTTGCTGCTTTTAACATTTTGTGTATCTTTACTTTTTGTCATTTTGATTGCTATGTGTCTTGGCATGTTCCTCCTTGGGTTAATCCTGTATGAGACTCTTTGCACTTTCTGGACTTGGGTGACTGGTTCCTTTCCCCTGTTAGGAAGTTTTCAGCTATTATCTCTTCAGATATTTTCTCAGGCCCTGTCTCTCTTCTCCTTCTGGGATCCCTATAATGAGAATGTTAATGTGTCACATGTTGCCCCAAAGGTCTCTTAAAACTATCCTCATTTTTTCATTCTTTTTTTCTGTTCTGCAGCAGTGATTTCCACCCTCTTTCTTCCAGCTCCCTGATCCATCCCGCCTCATTTATTCTGCTACAGATTCCTTCTAGTATATTTTCCATTTCAGTTATTGTATTCTACAACTCTGTCTGGTTGGTCTTTATATTTTCTAACTCTGTTAAAAACTTTTTGTAACTTCTCACTCTGTGCATCCATTCTTTCCCTGAGGTCTTGGATTATCTTTACAGTCATTACTCTAAACTCTTTCTTGGGTAGACTGCTTCCTTTCTCCACTCACTGAGTTGATGTTTGGGGGTTTTATCTTGTTCCTTTGTCTGGAACATAATTTTTTCCATCTCATTTTGTCTAAATTTCTGTTTGAATTTTTGTGTATGTGGTAGGTTAGTTATGTTTCTCAGCCTTAGAGAAGTGGCCCTCTGGGATGTCCTCTGTATCCCAGCAGTACTCTCTCCTTTTGTCACCCAAGGGCCAGCGCCCACCTGATCTCAGGGCAGTTTCTGATAAGTATTTGGAGAATCCATTCCACAGACTGCGGGATTGTAGTTTTCTTGCTCTTGTGTCTTATCTGGTGAGCAGGGCTGAGTCAAGGGGCATGGTGGCTGTGGGATCAGGAAGTCTTTAGGCAGCCTATCAGCTGATAGGCTGTGTTCCTTTCTTGTTGCTTGGCCTGAGGCATCCCAGAACTATAGGCTGTTGGGTGGGGCCAGGTCTTGGTGGTAATGACCCAAGCAGAAGTCAGCTGCCAGCAAGAGTTCACACAAATGAATACGCCCCAAGATTGGAGTCTCCATTTCCCTCAGTCCTGTGGAGCCCCAGAAATTTAGGTGCTCCCTAAAGCACCTAAAGCTCTCCAGGTGCTCCCCCTTCAGATGCCAGATCCCCAGGGTGGGTAGCCTAACTTGGAGCTCAGAACTCTTACTCCTGTGGGAGAACTTTTGTAATATAATTATTCTCCAGTTTATGGGTTGTCGACCTGGGGAGTATGGGATTTGATTATATCAAGAGTGTGCCTCTCCTATCGTCTTGTGGTGGCTCCTTTGTCTTTGGATATAAAATATCTTTTTGGTAGGTTCCAGTCTTTTTCACTGATTGTGATTTTGGTGTGTTCCTGAGAGGGCACGAACTCAAGGTCCTTCTATTGTGCCATCTTATCTCCCATCCTCTAAATTCTTTTTTTTTTTCATTTATTTTTATTAGTTGGAGGCTAATTACTTTACAATATTGTAGTGGTTTTTGCCATACATTGACCTGAATCAGCCGTGGATTTACATGTGTTCCCCATCCCGATCCCCCCTCCCACCTCCCTCCCATCCCATCCCTCTGGGTCTTTTCAGTGCACCAGCCCTGAGCACTTGTCTCATGCATCCAACCTGGGCTGGTGATCTGTTTGACACTTGATAATACACATGTTTCGATGCTGTTCTCTCAGATCATCCCACCCTCACCTTCTCCCACAGAGTCCAAAAGTCTGTTCTATACATCTGTGTCTCTTTTTCTGTCCTGCATATAGGGTTATCGTTACCATCTTTTTAAATTCCATATATATGTGTTAGTATACTGTATTGGTGTTTATCTTTCTGGCTTACTTCACTCTGTATAATAGGCTCTAGTTTCATCCATCTCATTAGAACTGATTCAAATGTATTCTTTTTTAATGGCTGAGTAATATTCCGTTGTGTATATGTACCATAGCTTTCTTATCCATTTGTCTGCTGATGGGCATCTAGGTTGCTTCCATGTCCTGGCTATGATAAACAGTGCTGCGATGAACATTGGGGTGCACGTGTCTCTTTCAGATCTGGTTTCCTCGGTGTGTATGCCCAGGAGTAGGATTGCTGGGTCACATGGCAGTTCTATTTCCAGTTTTTTAAGGAATCTCCACACTGTTCTCCATAGTGGCTGTACTAGTTTGCATTCCCACCAACACTGTAAGAGGATTCCCTTTTCTCCACACCCTCTCCAGCATTTATTGCTTGTAGACTTTTGGAGAGCAGCCATTAAATTCTTACTTTCTTAAAGCTTAACTTTTCTTTCAGGATTTTGGCAAATAAGTCTGTTTTATTTTGTACAATTTTTGCTAAAATTGGGAGCACTATTATATACAAAGTAAGCACACAGTATAAAATATATCAAGGACGGGAGTTTTCAACACATACCAAGGTAGAATGGAAAGTTAGAACAAGAAACACTTACTCTACAAAAAAAGGCATTTAGAAGTACGTGAATAAATGTTTATTGCCCTGTTGGTTCAATCCTCTCCCCACTGTTGGCGTCCAGAAATCCTCATTTTCATCATAAAAAAAACTTATAAAATGTAAGTGAAAAGTCTTGCTTTAAGTTTACCACATAAAATTAAGTGTCATAAATCCGACTTTTCCTTTTACACATTTTTCT